AGTTAATAAATTATTTATAATAAAAACACCTATAATCGTTTTATTTACTATCCATATAATATAAAGTTATAAATAAATAGGTGGTAGTAAAAAAAATATGGACAGGAAAAAACAATTAACTGCACTTTAAAAGTATAAAAATTGCACTTTTCTCTAATAATATATATATATATATATATATATATATATATATATATATATATATAATATATATATATATAATATATATCCCTCTATTTTGACGTCAGAATAAAATCTAGTTCCACATGTAACATATCTTTATTGAACCTAAACCCAAGAAACATTAATTTTATATTAAATATATTACGGTTCAAGAAACTCAAAACTACAATATATATATATATATATATATATATATATATATATATATATATATTCTCTTAATTAAGTATATTTTAAATCTAGGTATAAAAATGAAGAGGTATTTGATTTCTTCCATTGTTGACATGGTCCTTTAAAACTGGTGGCAATTAATGCATTATATTTATTTAATAATTCCATACGAATAATAAGTATAGGCACATAATATTTTTAATTATAATTTAACTTCGTTTTCACATTTATACAATAGCATTAAAAATATGCGGCATGGAAAAGGATTACCAAACAAAATGGTTTTTAGAATGTACTGAGGTGTGTCATAACTTATCAGCATTATGGAATGTCAAGAGTAATAAAAAAATTCCAGTGTCTAGACACAACATATTAATAAATATTGACTTAGAGAATTGGCATGTTGCAATGCATTCTTTTATTTTTATTTTAGACATAACTTTTCAAAACAGGTAGCATAAAAATGTTACCCCCAGCGCAAGCCATGGATAAAGAAGATCTATTTCATGCACTAATTAGTGAATTTTTGAAACCTACCCTGTGTTTATGGGTTAGGTGTGAAACTACCTAAATATTACTCCGGAAATCGTTTAGAGATTATTTTAAAAATTGCGTGAAAAGTTATAACCAAAAAGTTGTTAAGTGATTTACGCTTTTCAAATCTTATGGTTGACTTACTTGGCCACGATCTTGAGGTTTTTATAAATATTTATAGCTGGAGTGGCCTATAAAGATCGAAGCAAAACTAAACTAAATTAAACTAAACCTACCTAACTAAAGCAAAAAAGTTTCCATGACCAATAGCAGTCAAGATAGCCTCTTTTTAATTGCTTCCACTTTATTCATAATAATTAAGATACGAAACGGGTATGACAATAGGTACTAAATAACCTATATTTTCAACAAATGTTTATACTATTAAAAAAACTTTTTTTCTCAAAACTAAATAATAAAGATGACCTGCGAAGGCATAGTTATGGATGTGGGGGAAACACTCCACTCAACACGATGCACAAGACAATGAAATTCGGTACTTCAAATCAGTAAAGCTCAGAAAATTTTTTAATATCTTGATAAAAAATAAACCGATTAGACATTTATTATTTTTTAATTATAGAAAATGTCAAAATTATTTAAAAAAAAGTAATGTAAGTTTTTGTAAGATAAAATATAAAAGAACCACAGCACTTTTCTTATGTAAACATGGTTTAAATTGGCTGAAACTTTGAAGGGGAGTATCTTTGGTCATACTGATCAAATCTTAAAAATCATGTTAGGTCAATACATCAAGTTGAGTTAGTTGTTAAGTAAACATATTCAATATCAGCAATATGTTTTTTAGTATTACCTAATAGAGTAATTGTGATCATGTTGTTTAGTTTACAATTACTATAACTACCAGTTCTTCTTCTTCTTCTTGTGCCGTCTTCTAACGAAGGTTGGTGATCACTTCTTTAAACGCTTCTCGATCTTTTGCAACATGAAACATCTGTTCAACACTGAGGTTAGTCCAATCTCTGATATTCCTCAGCCAAGATTTCTTCTTTCTTCCCAAGCTTTTTCTTCCCTCTACTCTACCTTGCATGATGACTTGTAGTAGAGAGTATTTATCATTTCGGAGTATGTGGCCCAGATACTATGTTTTTCTTATTTTAATTGTGTTCATAAGCTTTCTGCCACATCCAACAATTCCTCATTTGAGACTTTTGCAGTCCAAGGAATCTTCAAAATACGCCTATATAGCCACATTTCGAATGCCTTCAATTTTTTTATAGATTAGTCCAAGCTTCTATGGTCCGTCCCAAACCCTTTTTTCAGTGCGTCACTAAATGTGACGTCATATAGGATTTTAAGAATGTCGAAAATTATTGCTTGACATTTTAGTTAAATCTGACAGTTGCAGGAACGTAACCGACTAAATGTGAAAAGGTTATTTTTTAAATAGTTATGTAGTCTTTATTCTTTCTCGGTATATCTCGGCATATTTAAAATATTTTTATGACAATAAATACAAAATTAAATTTTTACTGTAAAATGTCTGATAATACTAACCTGGAATGACAATTATCATTTTATCAGTTGACATTGTGAAAGTATTGTCATGATCAAGATAATCTGCGTCAAATTATATTTATGCGCATCATTGATTGGATATCTATTTAGCGTATTCTAAACTCCAACCAATTACTTATACATCCGTAAGTAGAATTGGCTTTAATATGCAAATACTCGTGAACGATACATAATTTTCTATGTTCTATGTATAATAATCACAGACTCACGTCTTTTTCTGTCTTTTCCAGCTTTATGCGTTAGAGAGAATTCGATCAACTATGACGCACTGAAAAAAGGGTTTGGGACGAACCGTACCCCATATAGTAGTTGCGACCAAACATAACATTCGACGAACCTCAATCTGATGGCCATACTCAATTTCTTATTTGTAACTACCAGTCACTATACATAAAAGAACTGTGGTCACTGTCACTATTTAAAGTCACTGTTATTGAAAAATCAGTCACTCTAATCAAATCTAATCATTTGTTGCATTGGGACATACATGAATAGTAATGAAATTAGGCAAATTGTCCTTTTATTTTATAATGAAAAAAAGCAAGAATATTTAATTAAATCAAAAATTGTACTGTTCTTCTGTTGAGAAAAATTCAATCCTGGAATGATGCTGTTCTATTACAGGAAGATCTTAATTTGTTTTATGAATGGAGCAGGTCAAACAAAATGTCACTTAACATAAACAAATGTCAAAATGACATTTTTGAGGCAAAGAAAACCATTTACATTTGTTTACTCTAGAAATAACTTGCCATTGGCCTCTAAAAATGAAGTATCAGACTTGGGAATCTGGTCAGACACCAAACTGTCATTCTCAAGCCACATCAATCAAGTAACGAATAGGGTAAGGAAAGTACTAGAATCTGTTTAACGCTCATCTGTAGACCTGTCTTTATTCACATTTAAAAGACTTTATTGTGGTCTCGTTAGGCCCATTCTAGAGTATGGATCAGGTCCTCATCATACAACTGTTATATTGAACAAATTGAAAGTATCAAAAATAAATTTTTGAGGATAGCAGCCTTAGCAATGGATACCATAGAAAGGAATATGACTATCAGTGGGTAAGAGACAGTATTGATTTACCAACACGTAAGTTAAGAGGGACATTGTTAGATTTATGTTTCCTGCATAAAGTCATTAATGCTATTATAGATTGTCCTCAATCCTCAATTGTTACCACTCAGTAGAAACAACAGACAATAGGAAATCTTTTCAGTGCCATTTCATCATACTAATTATGGTATCAATGAACCAACTAATAATCTAATAGTTTATAATCTAATGTTTGTTTTAGTAAAAAACTAAAAGTTGAAAGGACCTTGGGAGAGTTTTAGTGAAAAAAAAACAAGTAGTCAAGAAATATAGATGAAACTTTTTACATTTAGACCTGTTGAGTCTTTTAATATACACTAGGTGCACTGGGTTTTCTAAAAAAAGGACAAGTTTTCAAATAGTACTGGAAAAGTATCAAAATGTAGAAAAAATATAACTACTAGATTTAGGACAGTATCTGTCTTGTTAGGTTTTCAATCTAGTGTACAGAACCAGAGTAACAGAGTAACTAAGAATAAGAATATTTTGTACCACTCTATAAAAACTGCTACTTCCTTTTCACAAATCAATGTTAATAGCTGTTCAAATATGATTTACACATTTTTGTTTGCATTACAGAACCATATCAAACAATAGTTATTTTTTTCCATTCTTAGTAGAATATGTAAAACAAATCAACTGTAACCCTTAATTGTCAAAAGTTTTACATACACTTAACAATGAAAACACAGATTTGTTTAGATTATTAAGAACACAGAACACTAGTATCAATGTGGCTCAAAGGATGGAAATTATTTTTATTGGTTTCACGTTTTCAGCAGAAAATGTGCTGCATATGTTTTTGCTATCAATTACAAAACAAATAATTCATACACTACAAAATATAAGCAGTTGTTACAATAATAAATATTATGACGTATAAAAACTGTAAATATATTTACTCATTAACGAATGTTCTAGGTCAGATACTTCCGAATTCTACAAAAGGGTCGGATAACCAGTCCAGGTACTAAGAATGCTGTTGGCGACGACCCTCTGAATTTACCAGAATGTGATCGACTTTTCTAGACCTGCTGAATGAGTCACCTAATGGATGTAACGTCATCGGTGCATCCCCAGACCCTTCGAGATAACGGCATTTTATATATAAATAACATCAATTTTATTGAAAAAAAAGGTCAGACAACAAGAAGTCCGGTCTCGTGGTAAATTGTATAGCACTTAAATAAATTATTTGTTATTATTAAGTGTAAAATAAATTAGTATTAATAAAGACTAATAAATTCGTGAGTGTTATAAATATTGAACCTTTAATAAATTAAATTAAGAACTATAAATTAGAATTAATAAAAATATAACACAGTAAAAACAATGGTATAGGTGATGTTTATAATGTACAATAATAAATTTCATACAGCATTAGATAATGATTTTTTCTCAGTATATATTTACATTCTTATTGAAACAGAGATGTAAGTAGTCTTTAATCCTTACAAATATAATAAGTTTTGACTCACCATTTATTTCTTCCCTAGCCTTTTCTATCTTATCCTTCCTCTCTTGAACTATCCCAGATCTATACTCCTTCCACTCTTTCATCTTACTTAACACTGTTTTTTCTAAGGAAAATTCGTAATTTGGCATATTGTCTTGAATTTGTTTGTTTAGAGATAGCCTCTGTGCATAACTAATTGCTAAGTTGATACGAGGAGGAGGTTTATATTTTTCAGAAATTTTTACCTTTATGTTATCTGTATAGCAATCATGACTTTGTTTAGACATGATAATAATTAGTCTACAATAAAACAATTATGTTAATATCCTAATGAATCATCTCATGAATTTTATTAACTTACCCAAAGAAAACCTTCAACTCTAAGAGAATGGATATTAATTTTAAGTCATCTCACAAGAATTATGAAGGTGATTTTGGGACAATAACTTGTCCTTGAAGTTGAAGTTTATCAGTTATTTAACTAATTAATATATTAAACTTCTTTAAACAAAATCAAACCTCTATAAAACGGTTCATGTCACATCGCTGACATTCACCCTTCAATACTGACAACTTGACAGGACAACGATAAACAGTTTCACCAACAATAACACTACAAAGGAACAAATAATGAGTTTTACTAGCACTTTAAAAAGTTAATTTGGTAAGCAGAGTATTAGTAAAGACGTTAGTTTAAATAAAATATTGAAACATGTGTTTTAATAGTGAATCTATAATTGGTAATACAATTAATTGATGAGATATTAAAGAAAAATAAGGGTAGTGGCACATATTGTATTACGTAGTGGCAATACTGATTTCAGAGGATCACCATATTTTGACATTTTTCCTTGGGAAATAACAAAAATAACCTGAAAACGACAAAACGAGTATCAGGAAGAACGTCAATAATAAAGTCCATTACAAATACATCTGATTAATAATGACTTGTAAAAGAATGTTGTGTTAAATTGTTTCTTTTATTATTTATACGTATTGTCTGTATAAAAAAGTGCAAGTGCTCGATGACTCATCTAAAGTAATGAAAGGAAAAGGATAAAAAGCAACAAAACAAACACCTCAAGTATCTTACTTAATTAAGTTATGTGCCTTATTTTTAGATTTTAAGGAATAATACACATCAAAAATGGATGATCGAAGAGTCGCAGATTATTTTGTAGTAGCTGGTTTACCAGAAATTCCAGAGACTCTGGATGAGACAACTTTATCTGAGGGAGGAAGCTTGAAAGCCAGTCATGGCCAGCCACCTATTACAGATATCAGTGTTATTTTTCCAAGTTTAGGAGAAATCAAACCGGATGACTTTGAAGTAATCAGTAAAACACCAACAGGCTTAAGTGCAGATTTGAATCATGGTAGTTTAAGAACTATTGAATGTTTCTTGTGTATCAAAAGAGGAAGAGACAAACCACCTTTAGTTGATATAGGTAAATTCCACTAACAAAAACATGTTAATGTAAAAACAGTTTGGTTTTTTGAATAACTGTGAAACTGAATTAGAATATGTGAAGGTACACATTAAATATTGAGTTTAACTGGAATATAAAACATATAGGTATGCAATAATGCTGCACCATTTTTAAATCCTTAAACATCATAACAACAATATAAACAAAGAAAAATTAAAAGACAAGTAAGGTTAAATTATGTTTTAAAAATCCATCTGTGGTTTGGTGTCACTTCAATAATATGGGCACAGGTACCTTTACTTATGTATACTTTTGTTTTACTGACTATTGTACTAAGGAAAGTACCAGGGGTTTTATTCAGTATCAACATAAACTACATATAAAATTGAATATCAAGTGTGCAAAGGAATTGTTGGGTCTAAAATAATACTCCAAATGTACTTATGTGTTTAAAAGTATCTAAACATTATACAAAATTTTGTAAAAATGCATCTTCTAATATATAGAAACTACAGCTATTGAAAAACCTAGTTGACTTTGATGCAAGTTATTGCAATTGATGTAAATTATTTGTATGTATATATGATTTTTTAACTTTCAACAAAAGTATACTATCTATATATTATGAAGTAATAAATTAGTACCTAGACACTGGTGTTTGCTGTGTTTTTAGTTTAATGTTATACAAAAAACAAATAATATATGCTCATAGACTATGCAAGATAGTTAGCCAACTACTTAATCCATATATGTAAGAATAAGTGAGTAAGGCTCCATGCACACTGGTGTCTTTGCAAGTGGAGTGTACACAGCAACCAAGATGTGTGTGCTTAGATTGTTTGTTTCCCATCAATACACATTAACAGCAATGCACAGCATGAATACTCAAATCAACACATTTGCGTTTAATCAGTATTTATATAATAAAAAAAGTATGTAGCTGCTCTCTTTAATTCTGTCATGGTAATATGTTTATGTCATATGGTTATTAACAACCATCATGACAGGATGGTTGTTAATAGCCACAATAAACAGTTCTGTATCCATGTTGAAATCCATCAAAGACTCAATGTGTACTTGTTGATAGACTAGCTACCCAAACTGTTATGAAAGCCGCATTGACATGGTGGCATAGCACAAACTGGTGTTCTCCTGGCTTTCAATTTCCTCCTGGTTTTCAATTCCTGGCCCATGCCATGTGGGCTAAACTGTGATTCTGCAATCACAGGTAGATTGTGTGATCATGATTTTTTATTCATTGTAATTTTTACCTGTGATTGTGATTTAACAGAGCAACAAAGTAGTCTTATGTTAAACTCTAAATAAAAAGTGTTGCCATTGCCATAAATACGATGAGTTACACAAACTAAACTCTAAATACCCTTGTCATGTTCTTCAAATATTTATTACATACTATTACACCAAACTATTGATGTTCATATTCCTCCAAAAATGATATATTATCTTTGCCTTTGCATTCCTCATTAGAAAGTGACTTCACAATACCGCCAACTACCTCTATCTTGTTCCTTATTATCCTGTTACTCGTCTCTCATTTCACATCTCTGGAATTGAGCCAAAAACATGAAATACCACAGTTTGACAATCAAACCGATTTTTGGCAACTGAAGTCACAGTATATTTTTGTTGTTATTCACAGGTCGTGATTGTTATTTTCTAATAACAGCTGTTAAATCACAGTGTGTTGATATTTAGCCCACCTCTACTAATTACAACTCATGTACTGCTGAACCGCTAGTTTTTAACTCATATTACTACAAAGCTACTTAAAAAGATGCAAGTGTACATCAAGCCTAAGTCAAAACTATTATTTAAAATGACTATTTGTGTAAATGATTAGTTAATGTTTTTAGACATACAAAAGATTATCTTGTTAGATCAAGATACATATATGATAAACAGTAAACTAATATGTGATTTGTACATAAAGTACAATAAAATGGCCCCCTCGGCTACCCAACTTAGCTCCCCTAGATTTTTATTTTTCAGGGATGCTAAAGATTAATTTATACAGTTATGAATTTGGGTGACCAACCAACTTGGAGCAACTGAGACAAAAGATAATTCTGTGGTCAACACTTAAAAGGGAATAAGTCAATTTTTTGGGAAATCGTGTTTTCACTATAAAAACATCGTAACATAATTATTCTTTAATATACTAAAAGGATATAAGTAGATATAAGTCTAGTAAGGCTTATATCCTTTATATCTACTTATATCCTTTTAGTATATTAAAGAATAATTATGTTACAATGTTTTTATAGTGAAAACACGATTTCCCAAAAAATTGACTTATTCCCTTTTAAGTGTTGACCACAGAATTGAACTTAGCCAATACATATTTTTTGACATAAGGTGGTGGATGGTTTGAACATTTAATTCACTAAAAATTTTATTTGGTTTAGAATTTCTAATTGTTTTCAATTATTTTTAATTTAATCAGTAGCGTTTTGGAAATATTTTTTATTATATTTCATTCTTATAGAACTAATTTTATTTTCACACCTACTACTTTCAAAAAAATCTAAACACAAATGTGGTTTCAAAGATATTATTTGGAAAATACCAAATAACGTCTTATTAATTAACAGACGTAATTTTTTCCCCATTTTATTGCCTACCAAACCAAGGGCTCACAGCGAGATTGAGCCAAAGCGCGACAATGCCATTTAATATTTTCCTGAAACTTTTTTCTTGTGGCATCTTATTACAATTTACCATTTTTATTGTGAAAAAGCCACAATTTGACTTTAAAGTTTATTGTAACATTTTGATTTCCACTTCAGAAATTATTGTCAAAATGCAAAACAATAAATTTTATTTATTTGTATTGTATTTTGAAAACTATTTTCGACAGGGGAAATCAAAATGTTAAAATAAATTTATTTTGAAGGAAAATTGTGGTACATTTAAATCAATTCACATAAATTTGATTGTCTTAGCACATTGACAATATGACAAGTCAAATAATAACAATAGTTTTTCAACAATATTAACCTCATCTCTTCAAATATTTCCATTCTTAAAGTTTTGATAAGGTATTTCTGGGACCTAATATATCTATGTCATTTTATATCTTCCTCTAACTTCCTACCATTTAAACTGTAAACCTATGTTAAATTGTTTCCAAATCTGTATAAGATATATTTAGTACGCTACAGTTCTAAGATATAAGTTAAACTTATGTTTTTTGTGTTGATTTATACACTGTTTTTAATCAACAGTTAAATTCATTATTGTTATTGGCTACATAATATAGTTAAAGTAATGAGAGATGAGTGGAGACTAATGTTGAATTGGATTTAAAAAAAAATATTGCTCTTTCTACTTAAAGTCAATTAGGTTTAATAATGAGGAGTTTATCTTAAAATATTTATTAGTGAACAAGCAAAAACAGATTCATTTACATATTTTAACATTTTAAAACAATTTTAATTTAAGAAAGATAAAGAAAATATGTATTTTTAAAGTGTTTAAAATATAAATTCGTAGCTGAGTGTTTTTTTTTTAATTTATTATGTTAACATATAGAGTCTCTCTTTAGAATGCAAATATCATTATGATGAGAATATTATGAGATAATATTGCGTCTTCCAATAAGGAATTACCAATTTTGATAGTCAGTAGCAGCTATATTATTGATGTTACATCTGTCAAATTGGCTGTGATTTATTTAGTATATTTTGTTGAATCTCCATGGATGGTTACAACACATTCAAATAACAAAATTAATTTTAAAATGAATCAAAATGGGTGTTCTTTTTGGGTAATGTTCTACAAGCTTCACTCATTTTACATATGGCATAATCATCCTCCCAAGTGTGCTTCCCAAAATCATCACTGCTATCTGTTAGAGTATGCAGACAAATTCAAGTCAGTTCATTTCATGTTGCTCACAAGAACCCTACAGACCACAACTTGGCTAAGTTTTCATGGTGACTTAATGAACCTATGTACTAAATTCCAGACATACTTCCTATGTACTTCCATACTCTAGAACTTTCTTTTCAAGAAAAAAGATATAGGGATATAAAAAGAAAACTAAATATTAACCTTATATTCAATAGAGTTCTTTCTTAGGAAGTTTATAAGAACAATAAAAGAAGAAATCTACAGTTCTTCTACCCTCTCAATAATTTATAAGATATATACATATATAAGTCCACACATTCCTTATGAGATACAAGTCACCCAATATCAGAGTTCTTGTGATTCTATGGTCATGGTGAGTCACTCCATATCTTCTTCCTTCCATTTTCCATAGTCTGGTGTGCTTTTTGGTGTTCTCCATAATCTGTCTCAATTCTTCTCTATTGTTTACTTTCTCCATCCTTCAATTAATTCCCATAACCATCAGATCTTTCATAACTTGCTCTTCAATGTTATTTTTATGCTCAATAAACTGGGCTCATTCATCCACACAAAAGTCTTACATACTCATAACATCGTAGCCTTAAGACTTTAACTAGATCTTCTTGTTTTATTGATTGCTACATAAAGAAAATATTCTTCCGTCCACAGACATTCAATTTTGCAAACACTCCTCCAAGCATTCAGCTGACGACATTGTTTTTAACACTGAAGCCATCTTTTAAACACCTTCGTTTTTATATCATTAAAAACGTATTAATACGTTTCAATACCAAACATCTTTCTTTAATTTTTCTCATGACAAATTTGTAGTTCTAAAAAATCTTTTTCTGAGATATGAATCTTTCTAGGAAAAAAAGCAACCCCACTGTCATTCCTGATACTTCTTTCTATATAGAAAAGAAGACAAAGGTAGATCCTAATATAATATGGTCAATTGTGAGTCCATCCTTAAAGTCCAATGAGAGATTTATTCAACCATCAAACAATCAGAACTTAATTATTTTCTGTTAAAATATCAGAATCAAAAAATCTCAAATTAGATGTAGTCATATGTTTAAAATCTTGTTTTATTTGTATTTTTTCATATAAACGACATATAATTTGTTGATTTTTATGCCAATTATACTTATCTGTAATTTTGTTGATACATTTTTAAAGATAGTGGTTATTTTTGTATAATTTATCTATAATCAACATTTATTATAACTCATATAAATGATGAGATCCTCTTCCCTAACAATTATCTTCAACTGTTGTTTTTTTATATTTTTGGAAATAAACAATATTGTGGCATTGAAAGGACACAATGTATCTGTAACTTTTTGTCATTTAATACCAACTGTAATTATGTTGGCCACCTGTTGAATGGTATTAAAGAAAAACAGAGTTAATTGGATGGCTGTTGCAAATATTTATAATATATATTGAATCTATACCTGAATATAATATATAATATAACTATATTTCTTCTAATACATTATGTATTACGACTATGATTCTATAATAGTTAAACGTTTTTTTACTTTCAGTAAAAAAACGTTTTTTTTACAATAAAGCAACCTAATCCTATTCATAGTAAATGAATAGGATTAGGTTGCTTTATTTGAGCATACTTTAGCTATGAAATTTAAAGCTAAAATTTTTCGGCAGTATTTTGGTGGAGTTTCTACTGTTTCTGCAGATAAACAACTAATTGGTGACTTATTAAAGCTCCTCGACATATTCTTAAATAATATTTACTACTGATCAATATTTTTAGATTGTTTTTTGACACCTGGTCATAAAAAAATAACCATACTTAATCCAATACTGACCTAATATAGGATTTGTACAGAAGGATTGACACATGTAGATTTCTCTCATTTTGTTTTTCATTTTCATACCTATTTATTGATTACCGATTTTTTCTAGTAATTTTTTTGTTTCCAGCACATTGTAGATATTTTACGGATGCAAATATTGTATGTGTTGTTGAATCTGGTGTTATTTCGGTTGGAATTCTTTTTTTCATGAATATAGGTTCTTTGTTTTTGTTTCTAGAAAACTTTGACCATTTTCGTTACAACTTTTAGTAAAGTGCTTTTAATTTGTCTTCTTCTCTTCTTTTACATATTGACATGATAAATATATACATCATCACCATCATCATCATGCAACCTCTTCTATCCACTTCTGGACATAGGTCTCTCCCATTTTTCGCCACTCTTCACGGTTCTGTGCTTCTTGTTTCCATTTCTTGGATATTCATCTAATGTCGTCCATCCAGCGTTTTGGTGGTCGTCCTCTGCTGCCTTTGTCTTCTCGTGGGCGCCAGTCAACTAATTTTCTGGTCCATCTTGTGTCTTTCAGTCTCGCTATGTGACCTACCCAATTCAATTTCAGCTTGGCTATACGGTCGACAGCGTCACTGATACTTGCTCTTTTCCTTAAGTCTTGATTCCTTATTTTGTCACGCCGAGAATTGATCTTTCCATGCGCCTTTGTGCCACTCGCATTTTTAGTGTTGTTGTTTTTGTGAGCGTGAGAGTTTCTACTCTATATGTCATAATAGGAAGAACGCATTGGTCAAATGTCTTCCGTTTCATAGCTATCGGGATGTTGCTCTTAAAGATGTCTCTTAGTGAACAACAATAGTCTTAGTGAATAAAGTTATTCGTCGTCGAAATTCGCAGGTCTGGTTCTTGCCTATTCTGATTTCATAACCAAGATATATGTACTATATAAATATATACAAATTCAGCAAATTGTACTATAGCTCACTACATTTAACTGTATTTCCAGAACTGCTGTATATATTTAGATATTTTAATTTCCTTAAATGGTTGTTTAGTAAAAATAATAATATATAATAAATACTAATAATACTAATTCTATTCAATTTAAAATTTTCATATTATTAACTAATTTATTGATTTGTTTTAGGTGTGATGTATGAAGGTAAAGAATGGCTAATGGAGGACGCAGAAGTTGTGAAAAAAAGTGTCGGTGGCAACGTTGCAAATGTAAATAATTCAGCTTCTCAAACTTTTATCACTTATAGAAGAGGACCAAAGTCAATGCCTTGTAATGCATTGGTTGTGACAGATGTATGCGTAGTGATAGCTAGCAAGGGAGAATCACCACCTCATGCTTTTTGTTGTATTAACAAAAATTTGAATAAAGGGTTGGTCGGTAGTGATGTGTTCTTATGCTATAAGAAATCTATGAATCGTGCTACTCTTTTGACCTATAAACCTGAGGTTTTATCAAGGTGAGTTTGCAAGGTCACTTAATTATGTTTATTTTGCTAATGATAAAACTATGATTATTTTTCTATTCTAATATTTTCGGTACTTTTTACTGTTTAAATTTTCAGGTATCCCTTAGGAGATCTTCCTGAATTTCCATTTCCTGATTCTGTGCCTTTATTTTGTTTGCCGATGGGTGCAACGTTGGAGATGTGGCCTAAAGAAGCCACCCAACCAAAACCCGTTTTCAGTACCTTCGTATTGACAGTTTCTGATGCTAAACACAAAGTGTATGGATCCGCTGTTACTTTCTATGAAAGATTCTCGGAGAACAAGTTAACTCAAAAACAAACAGAGCTGCTAAATTATGAAGAAGACTCGGAGTTTGCTCTACATGCAAATAAATCGATATGTGTCTTATCACATTGGCCTTTTTCTGAAGATTTTGAAGTTTGGCTGAGATGGTTGCATGTAAGTACCTTAATAAAATTCATATTATTGTAACGAGAATAAAATCCACTTATTTATTTATATAAACGTTGTATAATTATATAATTCTGGTAAAACAATTCAAGAATCCAGAAGTAGGTTATTCCTCCGAATTCAGTAGATCATTCATTGGTCATTGTCTGTACAGATCTGGCTTCGTGATAATATGTCCATTTTATAAATTTTGTAATGCTTAAACCTCGTTTATAAAATCCTATACCAGGTAGGCTTAAATAGATTCCCCAAATATGCATTTAATCTTTAATAAAAAGTAGGAGGTATTTAATCAAATCTACTTTTCCTGGCCTTGCTATTTCTTGATGAGCTTCTTTAGTTAAATCAAATATTGCAAAGATTATTTAGGACAACAATGTGAATATCTACTTTGTCTTCTCAAGGCTTATTAAAGTCCGCTGCAAGGCAAAATTTTCGGATCGTTTTGGACCCTTTTAGTTCCACAGCAGCCTATTAACAAAAAAAGCCACGCAAAAAATTTATTTGCTAACATACGGAACTGCCTTCGTCATTTTTGAGCTGATTTTCTCCATTTTAAGAATGTTAATTAGTATCTTCTGATGTTGAGTTTCTGTTAAATGAAATTAGAAAACATAAAAACTGAATCAATTAGTGTCTAAGAGAACTGAGAAATGACATCCATACTAATTATTTCTTTTCGAGAACTTGCAAAATCCTTTGACATCCTGAAAGACATTCAGGTGAAATTTGGGCAAAAAACAATCTACGAAAGGTTAATAAATAGGCTTTTAGAACAGGTAAAATCTATTTTATATAGTCGCTTAAAATATGTTCTCGAGCATTATGGGGTTTTCCGTATTATCCCAGCAAGATGTGAGTCACTAGAAGTTTCGAGATCCCTCGTGGCTTCTGTCATATAGGTTCACGTCACGTCGCAATGGTACATTACAATGTATTCTCCTTATATATTATTTTTGTAGGGTATTGCTACGAGCGGTAAACCTCAACCTATTCCAATTGAAAGATACATAACTCAACTATTGGATGAAGTACAATTTCCTTCGCCGAGGATATTGCTCCAAATGTCACCACACAACAGCAAAGATAGAGTAATCTTGACCCAACCCGAAGATTTGCCTTTACCTAGAAGTGCCGCAAGTTTTAAACACCTGTTAATCAACTTGGGACCGGAAAATTGTTTACAAGTATTACTTTTGATGTTGACCGAACAAAAAGTGTTAATCCACTCCTTAAGACCGGATACTTTGACCAGTGTAGCTGAAGCCGTTTCGACAATGTTCTTTCCGTTTAAGTGGCAGTGTCCATATATACCTTTATGTCCACTTGGTAAGTACAGTGTGTTTTCCAAATTGTAGCTAGGTTATGTTAGGTTAGGTTTAGTATCAGTAGGCCATAGAGATAAAATACAAATAGACTGAGCGCTGCAATACAGTCGCCTTCCTCCAGTGCGAAAAGTATGATAAATAGTCTGTAAGAGTAGATCACAACATTTAGGCTGTGTGGGGCACGGCCAGTAAAGAATATCCCCACAGTTTTCTCCTGCTTGTCGTAAAAGGCGACTAAACGGAGAAGCGGTCCGTCTCTAGTCCGGTCGCGGCCGCTAATTCTTGTGAGGCGAGCGCGATGGGACAGGGTGGGGACTGCTTACCGAGGGAGGTGGGCGAGATTGGCACTCAGAGATGGGCGCTGAGTGCCACTGCCGTACACCAACCCCCGTGATGGATTAGCAAATCCCAGCTCGTTCATCATCATCCTTGCTGTTACCTATCATCCATCCCGTTTTCTTACCGATCCTCAGGAGACAACCTGATGCAAAACAAAAAACCGATGGAGTAAACCAGCGAGAAAAAATCCGTTAAGTCAAGGCGTAAGAAACCGTGCTGAGGACTGAATGACCACACGACACGTGGTCCCAAACGGTTCCCTTGGGGTACCGGGCGACACCTCATTGTAAGTAGCCTTACTGCCGCAAGCGGGGCTATGCGACAGCTGACCGAATTTCCCTAGCTACTCGTGGGATCTAGATGAACCTAAATGAAATTATAAACATAATCGGGGGCGACCCGGGCGGAATCTCGGGAAGAACAGACAATAGTAGAAGCGAACCAAAAAGAAAAAGGGTTAATTCCCTTCCTGAATCACCGACCAGATCGTTAGCTGGAGAAAAAAGGAAAAAAAACCTATCCGAATCGGATACCGCACCCTATAAAAGGAAAGAATGCTGTGAGTATTTCTCGATTATGGAGGGTCTCACATCATATGAAAGACTAGTGAACGAACTATCTAAAACAATAAAAGACATCCCAAACACCCATAAGAGTATAAAGGACATAACTTCCCGTCTAAAGAAGACCTCACTTACTTTTAAAAAAGACCTAGTTGTGAACTGGCTCAACAAACACAAATACGAGCCAGTAGAAAATCTGACGATTGACACTGACACCCAAACTGACCAGTGGCATGGAGGCTCCCAGAAAAGAATCAGTAAATTAGATAATATCAACAGTTTCGAAACCTGGGAAGAAACGGCTAACCTGACATGGGATGACAAGGTATACAAGAGGACCAATGTAGTTATCGGTAATCCTATTACCACCGGAAACGACATCGTTAAGGTCGTCATGGTAGAACCAAACGACCCTCAAATGAGCAACAGTATTCAGAGGCTATATAGGGATAAATACCCAGAGTTGGCAGAACTTGAAGCAGATTATGAAGTACTCGAGCAAAGCACTACAATTAAATCAAAAGGGGCAAAGGAGACCAAAAAAATAATAAAAATTAAACAAAATGGGGACAGAAAACAAATCTGGGAAAAAATCAACATGGTGAAGGAAGAAGTGGGTCAACAAGGTAAGGTCGCTCTCCACCATGTTAATGCCATGTCGGTAGATGAACTCCGGAAAATGTGTGAAATAATTTTCCAAAAAACAGAGGTGACTGTAAACATCCATACTACGAACAAACGGAAGGAGAGGGCCACATACGGTATGATTGTTACCAAAAAAGATGCCGCTTATAAGGACATACTACAGACTGTGAAAACAGCTGTAAAGTCAACTGGCGCAGCAGAGGCCGTACACTCGCTCAGAAGCACAAAAGAGGGAAAACTTCTCATCACCATGGAGAAAGACCAAGCAGCACTACAAAAAATAAAAACTGCCCTTGGAACAACAGAGGAAGGTCTCAGAGCATTCCAAATAGGAGAAGAACACATAACGGAAACCATACATATAAGAGGCATGGCAGAGGATGCCACGACGGAGGAGGTTATCGAGGCATTCCAAGAGCAAATAGGTAAGTGGGAAGACCACTACAAGATAGGAAAGATGCGACCACTGAGGGGCAACACCCTTGCCACAACAATTGTCATCCCGGCGAGAGTAGCTAAAATACTTTTGCGCAGAGATTTTCTCAGAGTTGGGGTATGTAGATGCAGAGTCGAGAAAAGACTAAAAATAAAAAGATGTAGCAGATGTTGGGCATACACGCATGACACCGATAAATGTCGAGGCCCTGATAGGAGTGGTATGTGTTACCGTTGCGGTAAATCAGAGCACGAAGCAGAGAAGTGTCAAGAGGAAGAAAGGTGCGTTCTTTGTAATGACGCCCATAGAACTGGCAGCATGGACTGCACACATTTTAAGAAGGCCCTTCAGGAGGCGAGATATCATGAGAAACTTAGAAAACAGCAAGGAGAATACGCGGATGTCTTCCCTCCTACGCTCACTCCCATACCTCCTTTCCCTTCTCCAAACAAGGTTTATGTTAACTCCCTTTTGGAGTCCTCCAAATCTCTGTGCGACGAAGCTACAGCTACCTTTAGTGTAGTGACGTTGTCACAGGGAGCTCCGACAACTTCAGTCTAAGTGCCTGTTCCGTCATCCTATGTGACCTTTAACACATGATACTAAGGTAATGATTTCAAAATGGCTTTAACCGGGTTAAAAAGACTAAAAATTCTACAAGTGAACATCGGAAGAGCCAAGGTTGCACATGATCTGATTCATGCGAAAGCCCTCGAAATTGGAGCAGATATTCTAATAGTACCTGAACCAAACAAGAGAATCATCCAAAATAGCAGATGGATTACAGACAACAGGGAAGATGTAGCAATATACCCCATAAATCATAAAGTGTGCATAAATAAGATTATAAAAGGGGAGGGGCACGTACTAAGCAAATTAGAAAAAGTAGCTATTATTGCCTGTTATATCTCACCCAACATAGGTAGAGATCAATACAAACAGCACATTGAATCCATAATACAAATGTCACATATAGAAAAGAATTTTATAGTCGCTGGCGACATAAATGCTAAAATCTTATGGGGTTCCCCACGAAATGACTATAGAGGGGATTTATGGAACGAATGGATCTCTACGGCCAATCTAACAGCGCTAAATAATGGAAAACCTACTTTTGTCCGGGGTGAAAGCCGAAGCCACATAGACATTACCCTCGTAAACGAAAGTTATGCCAATCAAATATCTAACTGGGACGTTCTTGACGAAAACATTTTTACTTTTCACAGATATATTGTTTACGAGATTGGCATCAAGGTCACGAAGAGCGGTAGGAAAAAGATAAGTTTTAACAAAGACCTATTTAAAAATAAAATTAGCAACCTACGAGAAGAAGCTACTAACTTCACAAACTACCATAAAAACCTAATACATGCATACAGAAGCAGCAGCAAGGAAAAATGTGTCACATATACTGTACCCTATTGGTGGAACGACGAGATACAGCTTAAAAGAACAAAATGTTTCAGAGTCAGGCGAATAGCACAAAGAAACAGGACCCAAGAAAACTTGGAAGAATATAAGCGCGTAAAGAAAGAACTAAATAAAGAAATAAAGCGGGCTAAACGCACATGCTGGCAGAACCTGTGTGACACGCTGGACAACGATATATGGGGTGAAGCCTATAAAATTGCCACTAAGACACTGAGGTCCGAGGCTCCATATAACCTTTGTGTAGAAAAAAGAAAGGAAATTGCGAAAGCCCTTTTTCCTAATAAGCCCGAATGCCAATTTCTACCATATACTCTAGATAATAGACCTGACGAGTTCACCATAGATGAAATAAGATTAGCTGCCGAAAACATAAAAATCGGGAGATCCCCTGGCCCAGATGGTGTGCCACCAGAAGCCATACATATTATGGTACAGGAAAATCCTGAAGTCACCAGAAAGGTATTAAATGAGCTCCTACACAACCAAGAATTCCCAGACCAATTGAAGATTGCAAATTTAGTCTTAATCTTAAAACCTGGTAAACCACCAGACGGGCCTAGTTCATACAGGCCTATATGTTTATTAGATTGTATTGGGAAATTCTATGAAAGCCTCATAAAACGCCGCCTTGAACAGGAGCTCTTAAACACAGGAGCTATTTCTGACCAGCAATACGGTTTTAGAAAAACACGATCAGCTATAGACGCGGTAAAATTTATATGTGATACAGTCAAACAAACAAGAAATAAATGGGCAATCCTTGTTATGTTCGATGTAAAGAATGCCTTCAATTCTGCCAATTGGGCATACATCATAAGGAAACTGGAAACCGCTGGAGTGTCAGACTACCTAATAAATATAATTAAAAATTACCTCACCGACAGATATATTAAAGTGTCAACCAAAGAAAAAACAAAACTATCGGCTGGAGTACCGCAGGGATCTGTATTAGGTCCAACATTGTGGAACGTCTTGTATAACACAGTATTGGAAATAGATTACGGCAGAGGTGCGTCAGCAATTGCATATGCAGATGACTTAGCAATACTAATAGAGGGTGACACAAACTTGGATGCAATAAATAAAGTTAATATATGCTGGAGAAAAGTTAATAGGTGGATGACAACTAACGACTTACAGCTGGCGTGTAATAAAACAGAGATAATTATATTAAAAGGGCCTAGAGCGATACCCAACCTGACTTTCCAATTTGCAAGTACGACGATAGTCCCAACCAATTGTGCTAAATATCTAGGCATACACCTTGATACAGGTCTACGATTTACCAAACACCTGATAAATGTAGTCCAAGCAGCAGAACGCAGAACAGCGGCCATTATGAAAATAATGCCTAATATAGGAGGGCCAAGTAATTATAAAAGAAGAATGTACTTGCAAATAGTGCATTCGACCCTTTTGTACGGTGCCCCCGTATGGATTGAAGTCTTAAGGTTTTCCAGGTACAAAGACTTGATTACAAAAGCTCAAAGAAAGCCCCTTCTTAAAGTAGTTAGTGCGTACCGGACTACATCTACGATAGCCTTACAGGTGATTGCTGGTACGCTCCCCATTCACCTCCTAGCGAAAGAAAGAGCCATCCTATACCATAACGGCAACGGCCACCTGACACAGGTAAGAGACGAAATTAGGAACCAGATCCTTGATGAATGGCAATCTGAATGGGAGGCACAAAGGGAAAAAGCACAATGGACTAAAATACTAATACCCGATGTAAAAGCATGGTACAAATGTACGTTCAAGAGAATAAACTATTTCTTTGTACAATTCCTGACCGGACACGGTTCTTTTAGGTCGTATACATACAGAATTAAAAAAACAAATGACGATATCTGTATGGATTGTGGTGTGACTGATGACGCGGAACATTGCATTTTCGAATGTAATGTCTTTCTACAAGAACGTCAAAGACTGAGAATTAAGATAGGAGATGTCACGCCCAATAATATACTGGACTTAGCTATGCAGAACAGAAAGAACTATGATTATGTGTTAGAAATAATAACGGAAATCATAAAAAAAAAGAACACGCTAGAAAGAGCGAGACAGGATGAAGGAATAGGCTGAAAGACTAATAAAATAATTGTAATTCGCGTTTTTTTGCTCATTAGACACATACTTCAGCGTTCTGTACTAATTTTATAGTGTAACTGTCCTATTTACTTACTTATATTGTTTTTTATACTGTCATTATGTCACTCAGCTACCTTTGAGACTCTCTACCGAGGACTATACTAGGTTTTCGTGAAAATTGGAGACCGCGGTGGTGCTCCCGAAGTTGCATTCGCCAAGAAAAGTTCCGGGTGCGCTGCTGGAAGAGAGGGTGAGTTTAGTTGGTAGGCGCCTGAACTAACCTTATCAACATTCCAACGTTATAGTTCAGACGAATCCAACAGTATCTGGGTCCTCTTCCCAGATCTCTTTAGAAGATTCTCATCCAAAAAAAAAAAAAAAAAAAAAGATCACAACATTGCGTACTTTGTGGTTTTTGTGACCTGTATGCACAAAAAACTTGCCTAGCCAATTGCAATACAAATTGATTGACCACCTACCGTTTTCGCCAGACTTAGCACAGTGTGACTGTTTCCTATTCACAAACTTCACAAAAAAAAATGTCTCGCAGGACTATGTGTTTCGATGAAGGATGACTTTATACCAATACCCAACTTTACACTTTAAACTTGACTTGTCGAAATGTATAAAATATTTAAAAACGCATCTTATCGGGTGTATTGAGGGGAAAGGAGATTTGAAACAAAATAACTGATGTAGATGTTGAAAAATAACCGAAAACAATAATAGTGGTTTGGCTGCATTACAAACAAGTTATTTAGAACAGCTGTAAAAAAAATTAAAATAGCATTAATGATATCCAATTTTCGATAGAAGATGAAGAAGATTATATTCAACATGGTGGACGAGTGGATTAAGAGGGTTACAATAAACTGGATTTACCAGGTCGGAAGCACTGGGAATAACTTAATGAATACTTTATATATATTACAGACTGCATAAGCTCCATAAATTTCTCTGAAAGGACCATCAGATAAGTATTTCATCACTCCAAAGGGAGTCAGAATGTTAAAGAGACTTTGATGGTACCTTTCAGCGTGCACAAACTAGACTGGGAATTATAACTTATGGTTCTAGGGAAAACTGACATATGATACCATCTTTATCCCACGGATAACTCCCTCCCTCCTTTACACATCGTTATAAGGACTGCGAAAAAATAGGAGTAACTTACGTAATGGTTAGATGTATAATAGGTTCTCCAAATAAGTTAAACTAAAAGTTAAACTTAAAGTAAAGAATAGATTGCTTAAACAAATATAACATAGATATTTGCAGTATTTTGGACACATTGCTAGAAGAACAGGTACGATGGAAAAACTGATAGTCGATGGTAGAGTTGAAGGAAAGAGACCTAGGGGAAGATCTCCAAACCGTTGGATAGATCAAACAAATATATTGATTAACCAAGGGTTACATGAAGCCGAACAACTATCCCAGGACAGAGAAGGATGGAGGGAAATCGTGAAAAGTATGTTTAGGCTTGATGGTGTCACCACATCCCAAAAGGGATTAGAACTGAGAAGAAGAAAATAAGTTAAAGAAACCAAAAGAGGTTTACCTCAGCACAGGTAAATAGTGGCTGTCCGCAGGCTGCCCTTTCTCCTTTCTTGTGGAATATGGTCATGAATTGGCTAATAGCTAAACTCAGCAACGATGGACATCACATTCTGGGTCTTGCGGATTACCTCTGACTGTAATTACCGAATCGACTACAAATGGAAAGCTTGTCATAAAAGTCCAAATTTATGAAATTTACCAGAAGCCTGTTGGTACAAATATAAATCTTTTGATTGAACTACCTTGGAGTAATATTAGACTCGAGGGCTTACTTGTAATCAGTAGATACAACGAATAACCAACAAAGGCGTGACTATATTAATGGTAGCTAAATACAGTCATGGAAAAATGTATGGTTTAAAACCAGACATGTTATATTGGATTTGTAACATGCTGGTAACACCAACAATCGTATATGCATTTGGTATGGTGACCGATGATACAGCAAAAAAGTGCCATCCTCAAACTAAGCAAGGTGCAATGGCTTGCTTAACTTGGAATTATATGAGCTCCTGGGCACACCAGCTGCGGATATGGTCTATGCTGATTATAGAACTACTAGAGCTAGACTCTCTCCTTTGCACATCGTTATAAGAAAACCTGATCAACGGTTACATCAGTAATAGTAATAAAGTACCATTTCAAGTGGACATGTGCTTACGAGAGAGATAGAGCAGTAGAAACACTCGACCCAGACTGCAGGATTATACCTGGTTCACAGGCAGGTCTAAAGTTGCAGAAGTGTCGTTTGCAGGAATATTCACTATTGCACAGATATGTGTAGAATAGGACAGAAACTAAGCAGGAATCAGCTCGGAGTTCGTACTGGACATGCGCCAGCCAATGAACATCTGCACACAATGAGACACAGTTAACCATATCTTGCATGACTGGGAGGCATGGGAAGTGATAAAAAAAACGTGGTTTTCATCCTCTAGACCTGTAGAAACTGATACATGGTTCCATAATTCTGGAATGAATATCATGAATGAATGGAATATGTAAAATAAGCCACCTGGCTGCAGTAAGTCTAGTTTATAACAGATGACTTTAAAAAAATCAGTCTGTGTGGTGATTAATTGTTTATTTGACATTAATTCACTAATACAATTTTTTGTAGGACTTGTTGAAGTACTTCATGCACCACTACCATTCCTCATAGGCGTCGATTCCAGATTTTTCGATCTGTATGATCCACCAACTGATGTCAGCTGTATAGACTTAGATACAAACATTATTACCGTAAGTTATTATCAATATTATAGTATTGCAAGCATAAACATTTTTTACATTTGAAGGTTGCTGAAAGTCAACGGCAAAATCTTAATATTAAACTACTTCCCAAAAAGGCTGCTAAGATTCTTAAATCAACTCTGGATTATCTTTACTATCAGTTACGAAACAGTACAACTAACAACGCATCAGATGCCAATGTACAGGACGACATCGAATTAGAATTTCAAAGAAGAAAGAAACAGGTAAGAATGATTTATATAAAAAATATTTTTAAGTAAATATACGTAGTGTAAAGAAGTCTGCAATAGCAAGTTTATTTCAGCTATTAATACTGATTGGTAGGAATTTTGATGTTGTATAGTTCTGACAATGACTAAAAATATTCCCAAGCTCAGTGAATCAACTATACCAGCATTATTAGTCTAGTTTCTATACTATAAAATTTGGAAAGACACATACAGTTAGATTTGTTGCGTCATAATACATATATTACCGTACCTATTTTTATTTTAGCAATCGCAAGAGCTAGAAATACAAGAAGCCTTCCTGAAATTTATGGTTTTATCTTTAAAAGGCTATAGATCATATCTTTTACCTATTACAAAGGCCCCTACAGTTGGTACAACTGATCCGGAAGCCTTGTTTCAACTAAACGATTTTCTAAAGAGTAGAGATAAAGTTAATCATAGATTTTTCACATTAGTTATGAGAACACAAATGTTTATAAGGTAAGTTAAGTACTTTCTTAATCATCTAGAGGAAATTTATGCTATACATTGGTTAAAGAGGTTAAATTTTTAAATTTCACATCAAATCACATAAAAGTTACCCTTCTTAAATGTTTATTCTATCTTCTCTATTGTATTAGAAAGAGAAATATCGTAATTTTGTTTTAGATTTATCGAAGAAAGAAGTTTCGTAGCGGACGGTGACCAAGGTTTGGCATTTTTTGATGATTGTATAGAAAAAATCGGACACGAAGAAAACAACAGTTTCCGTTTGATAGAACTTGATTCTGTTCACAAGAGCGATCGGACAGTGTTTGTTTTACCTCCAGAACCCACTGCACCTGGTGAGTTTGATTGTTATTAAGCCATTCTTTTTAATAATAAGATGACAATGTGTTTTAGGTGAAATGTATGAATACAAACATTTCAATCTAAGGGCAGGTCTTCTGATTGGGCATGGTAAAAGGAAAAATCCTTTATCTTCTCTATTCCAAACGATAACGCCAGGATCGCCGATGGCCAGGAGGACAAAGCAGGAGATTAAATCTGCTCAAAAGTTGGCTCGGTAAGAAGATATTACTAATTATTTACATATTAAATTTGCATCGCTTTTACAAGAAAATGACAATTGATACACCACGTTTGCAAATTCTTTCGCTAGTTGATTATGTTGTGAGGAGGATATAGATGAATTGGAAGTATGTATTAGCTAATTAAAGGAGAATTGAATTGAAGGTAATGTTTTATCAAAATGAATTTCTTCGGTGTTTATACAGTATATAAGTAAAGTTTGAATCTAATTTTGCTATTAAAAAAATTATTTGTTTCATTTTTTAATCTTTGGGTTATAAAGTTGATGAAGTGATAAAATACTAAGTAATAAACATAATAATATTTTTATAGTATACAACCAAATTGTGCATATTTTAAAAAAATATTTTATCACAACAATTTTACTTTAATTTTTTGTCTCCTTGTAATATTCTAAAAATTACCAATGTATGAACTCTACAAATTATATTCATTGTCTAGGTAAAATTGACTAGGTATATTTAAGGCTTATCCTCGAAAATTGTAACTGTAAAATTCAGAGAGATATCTATTTCAAAAATATCTTTCTTTACAAAAACAAAATCCATTCACGAAGAATATTCTAAACGTCATCTTGTACTAGAGGTTAGCTTTATACCTACCTTATACAACCCCCTATTGTGTAAAGTCTTGGGTCTATACAATAAACGAGTGGGCGGCCTTCTATTCAGTGCGGTTTTGAAATAATGTTGAATAAAAACATTCATGAAATTAAAATGAAAGAATTTACTTCTATTAGTAGAAGTGCGATTTATAAAATTAGTACTTGAAGCATAAATCGCGGGAGGAATATGTGCATCAGTTTTCAAATATTTATTATTTACTATATAATTTCTAAATTTAACCACTTTCACTTCTTTAGTTAACAATGTATCTGTTTTGACAACTAAATAGGTAATTAGACAAAATAATTATTAATTTCAAAACAGGAGTTTAAAGAATTAGAAAGAGGTAGCCCGGGCCCAGTTAAATGTTCAAGCTTATTCCAGTGGAAGCAATAAGGAGGATTATTTTTCGTTTTGGCACAGCTGACATGCTCTCTCTAGCACTACAACCCATGAAACTGTGGTAAAAAGCATGCTTTATTTATACGGTTGTGAAACACGACGATTAACAGAGACAGATTAATATCGAAGAAAGATATCTCGTCGAACTTAATGCAATAAAGTATGAGAATAGAAGGTACAGTCATGGATGGCATACAACGAAAGCAGCTCAAATGGGTACAGGTCCAATAAATGAAAGACAGTAGACTCCTAAAACAAGTACCTGTATGAACACCTACCGTAATCCAGAAGAGAGGTTACCTTAGAAAACACGGATGGAAGGAATAAGAAACTTAATGAGCTCGAAAGAACTTAAAGAACAATGGAACAACCGAATTGAATGAAAAATGAACGTCGGAAGACATTTTATAAGGATTATATCATATAGGTACATTTTTTGGACTAAAAATAAATTTGAAGAAAACCAAGTTCATGGTATTTACAAAAGCACAAAGCATCAAAGTTCAGTTAGTACTAGATAATACAGAAATTGAACAAATATCTTTGTACAAATACCTTGGAGCATGGATCACAGAAGATACTGATTAGACAAAAGAAATAAGATGCCACATTGGAATTGCACGGTCAACTTTTAATAGAATGAGAAAACTTTTTTGTAATCGAGATATCAATATATCGCTCTGGATAAGAATGCTTTGATGTTATATTTTCTTTACCCTTTTATATGGGATTCAAGCTTGGTCACTTAAAAAATTTAACATTAAAAACCTAGAAGCATTCGAAATGAGGTGCTACCGACGTGTTTTGAAAATATCATGGATGGATCGCAAAACAACCGAACAAGTTCTCGAACAACTAGGAAAACAATGCGAAGTTTTAATTTCCATAAAAATCAGGAATTTAGAATACTTGGGGCACATCATACATCACACATCAAGACGTAAAATCTAGTGGTTACGCAATCTCCGTGAATGGTTTGGATGCAATTCAACTGAACTATTCAGGCGCATATCCAACAAAACGATAATTGCCAGAATGATTTCCATACTCCGATAGGAGTGGAACTTGAAGAAGAAGAATAAGTACATTATTATTATATCATATATATATATATATATATATATATATATATATTTATATAATATACATATATATATATATATATATATATATATATATATATATATATATATAATATATGATATACACGATATTGAAAGAGGTTACAACATAGACAATCAACAAAATCTACATCGACAACTACACAGTGAACACCCAACAATAATAGAAGTGTCAAATGCCGTCCTAAAACTCAAAGACAATAAAGCCACAGGAATCGATTAAATCTGTTGAAAAATATATAAAAAAGGTGATCATCAACTTTTTGCAGTAACCCATAAACTAATAGTACTTATATGGCAAAATGAATTTGTACCAGAAGAGTGGCTAAATGAAATAATATACGTTGCATAAAAAGGACGATTAACTGGATTGTAAGAACTATAGAGGCATTACTCTGTTAGCATCTTCACCTGCTAGCACCCTGCTTGGCAGGGTCACATATCAGATCAATTTACGGTTGCAAAAGGCTTGAGACAGGGAGATCCTTTATCCACTACATTATTCAACTTAGTATTAGAAACTGTAATCAGAAAATGCAGCATGAAGATGGAAGAAAAGATCATGAAAAATTAGCACCAGTGCTTGGCATTTGCTGATGATCTAACGATCCTAGCAAAAGCCGAGTAAGAATTAAGAAGAGTTGTGAAGAAAATCATCGAAGAAGCACAGAAATTTGGATTGGAACTAAATGAAGACAAAACTAAATATATGATCATGGAAGGAACAGAAGGGAAAAAAGAAGACTTTAGTGTGAGGTCAGTAAGTGGTAAAAGCTATAGTTTGAAAAGGGTGGACAAATTTAAATACCTAGGTGTAGTTTTCGATGAAAATGGAAAAGAGAAATGGGAACTCGTAGCCAGAATAGCAAAAGGGAATAAAAAATTAGGTGGTTTAAGAGCCCTACTGAACTCAAAATACGTTTCTAGACAAGGTAAACTCAGAATATATAAAACAGTAATTCGACCCACAGTAACATATGCCGGTGAGCCTGGACATTAAATAAGAAGGAAGAGGATACTCTGGAAAGATGGGAAAGGAAAATATTGAGATGGATATTCAGAGGACGGAAGGCAGAAGATGGTTGGGAGAGAAGAACCAAGAATTAATTAATGGCTTTATACAAAGAACCTACTATTACCAAGTTTGTCAAGGCACAAAGAATCAGATGGTTGGGACATGTGGAAAGAATGGCAGCAAACAGAATTCCCAAACTAGTAATAACCAGAAAATTAATCGGCCCCAAAAGAAGAGGTAGACCCAGAACGAGGTGGATTAGTAAAGCGGAGGAAGACCTTAAACACGTGAAGGTGAGGGAATGGAAAAAAAGCACAAAATAGAAGCGAATGGAAAAATATTGTACACCAGGTCCTTCAGAGTAGTTAAGAATGTTATATATACATATTTAAGTTAAAGTTTTGTTTAAAATAATTGTAATTAGTTAATATTAGAATTATGTTGTAAAAAAATGCTCTAGGCCTTAACGGCCTGTTGTGCGTAAAAATAAATAAATAAATAATAGAGTGCAAAAATCGAAAGAATCGCGTTTTTTGTATTAATTGTTAATCATTAAAAAACGGCTCCGAACTTTACGCAGGAAACAGGTAGGTTTTCTTCTTATAGGTCTACAATAACTAAAAAAGTTATCAGCTACCTGGATTATTGAGTGTCACGAGAAAATCCTTATTAGCTTGGACTAATATGGCTGGACAAGCAAGTGAAGAAACAAACTTCATATATTATGTAAACTTTACTAACAAAAACGTTGAAAATAAATATTCCTATAAATATAAATAATCAAATTCCATATTCAAATACAGCAAAATATTTGGGTATTGCCCAATAAATATAAATAATCAAATGCCGTATTCAAATACTGCAAAATATTTGAGTATTACTCTAAGCTTTTATGTAAAGAAGAAAAGAAAATAATAATTCTGATTGAAATACAAAAAAATGTACTGGCTGATTGACCAAAATTCTACGCTGTTTCTACATAATAAATTATTATTATATAAGCAAATACTGAAACAATAGTATTATTATAAACATTTAGAAGGAAAATGTTACAAATCAACAGAAAATATTTCTATTCATATAAAAATTTAATCAAATTATAGGTACTTATTATAGGTACTGCTTATTTATATAAAATTTCCTCAATCGGAACATAAACGTCTTCGTGAACTACCCATTTTAAAAACAATTAACACACTGGTTTGTCAAAAGTCGAAATAAACCCTAATAATGTTATTCAACATTATTTATGACCCACCTTCGAGAGGGTATTATACTTCTTACCTAACCAACCTAACCGTGTCGGCGAGAATCCAGAAACTATCGACAAGGACAGCCTGTACTGGCCGAGAGAGAAAGTTACATTTAGCAAAATTTGAGATTAAAAAAAAAGTTTATACCAAATAGCTGCTTTGTGTTACACTTTATGTTAAAAATAAAAACAGATTCGGAAAGTGGGTCAAATTCTGTAGTGCCCTATTTCAAAAAAAAAATTTACATTTATTTTAACCAAAAATATTTGAAAAAAAAAATTGTTTAAACAATTTATTAATTTACAACCAAATAGTGCACTAGAACTTTTTAAGACCTTTCATTTAAAAAAAGAATCATCTCAATATCTGCCATAGTTTTTGCGTTATTTGATATAAACTTTTACATTGGAACTTAGGTATGCCCAGAAACGCAAGGAACGGCCTTAAGGAATTTGTTTTAGATTTGACCAACATGCTCTCTTTATTGTGAATTTTTGATCAAATTTGAGAGAATAACCGAACGAAATGTCAGAATAGGTCAACAATGTCTCAATTAATCTAATTAAAAAGATCTATAGTTAAAAAACCTGAAGAACACAGCTACATGAACTAACAGAAGAAGTTACGATACTAAAACAAGAGAGTATAATATCCCCAAAACTCTTCACTCTTACACTCAAAGATGTTTTCGAGTAAACAAAATTAATAATACTTTATTAATTTTTTAAGTCAGTTTGTTAAGTCCGTTTTTGTAAACGTTTCTATACATACATTTCGCAATTCCATTGTTGCATTTAAGTTTCGTTCCAGGCTGTACTTGAAATTATTTTTGTAAATTTATTCTCAAGGACAGTTCCTGTTTAACCACAAACACTAATGTCATCACTGGAATTCTCGTCCCTAAAGCAGGTACTTGCTTATATTACCTCATTTTGCAGGATTTCAATATGCTTTAGAATGTGATATAGCCTTTCAAACGGAGAAGACTTATTCCTGTGTCGTTGTGGTAACTTCTATTTTCACCTTTCATAAGTCTTAATGTTATTTTACTTTTTATTGAATAAATCATAAATAATTTGTAATGTTATGTTGTAAACGTACATACTCTCATTAATAAAATATATTTTTCAAAATTTTCAGGAAATGTTTGCGTTCCCCTGATCTTTGGGCACGATGCCTCTGCGGTACATGCCACACCTTATATTTTATGATATTGCCAAGTATGTTGCATCTAAATGCCGGAAAAGAGAAGGCCATATTGCAACAATCGTATGAACTACTTGTCAAAGCAACCAAACTAAGATTGACCTGTGATGAAGTTTGCTATCGGTTGATGATGCAGCTGTGTGGGGAACATTCCAGACCGTTGTTAGCTGTTAAATTGTTGGTGTTGATGAAGAAATTTGGAATTCAGCCGAACGCTCTTACTTACGGGTAAGTAGAAAAACAATGCCTGTGTCAAGGTGGTATCCGTACTTTTTCCAATTCTTTCTCTCGTTGAACAGCTTCTCAGAATCTTGAACTATGCAGAAATTGGAGTAGATCCGCGTCTATATTCGCAAATATATTGATATATTTTTAATCCGTTAATGTTCGTTTCAGTTTATATAACCGTTGTGTATTAGAAGCAGAGTGGCCCGCTCATTCAAGTTCGAGTCAGTTGTTGTGGAATAAATTAAGGAACGTTGTTATCGGAGCGGCTCATTTCAAATGGGCAGTTCGAAAGAAATCTGCAATCCATATGTCAGCGTCTACTGAAGGAGGTAATAAATACATTTTATCTATCTAGACCTTACAAATGTGGTTAACTCTTATTGTTGTGTCTCTGATTATATGAATTTTAAAATTTATGAATTCGCTACAATTTGAATTTTTTGCATAATAATGCATTAGTGACGACTATAATACATATACTTCAATATAATACCAACAAAATAGATTCTAAATATTACCCTTAACCAAGTAACAAATAGTTGTCAGTGACGTCATCCTACCCTATTCACCTCAAAAACATTTTAGTCCGCTCTCAAAAAATTGTATTTGAATTTCAAGTGACGTCAGTGACAACTATTTTTTATTTTGAGATTAAATTTTAATTTATACTCCGCCATCATTTTAGGGAGCAGTCTTTTGGATCAAACAGATCGTGCAATATCTCGATCATCCTTGGATTCGCACGAAGCGATTCGGGAGGACCATCCTCCCCTACGGAGAGGTACCAGCATTATTAAAGGTAGTCTTAACGGACTAGAAGAAGTGGATGGGTTAGAAACTATTAACGGAAACGAGCAGGAGGAAGAGCAAGAAGCGGAAGTCACGCTGAAGCAAAATGGTGACATTGAAGAAGAAGAACAATCGACTGAAAAGGAACAGACTGAAAAGAAAATCGTTCCTACTCCTGATAGTCCGTCCGAATATAGACTTTTGTCCAGGTATGTAAAAATACATTATATAATAAAATAAAATAATATATATATATATATATATATATATATATATATATATATATATATGTGTGTGTGTGTGTGTGTGTGTGTGTGTGTGTGTGTGTGTGTGTGTGTGTGTGTCTGTTTGTGTAAAAGATTAAATCTTTTAGCCAAAGGCTGATACAAATTCAAACTCGAAAGTCCAACGAATGTCTCCTAAAACTTAAACATTGCTAGCGGTATATATATATATATATATATATATATATATATATATATATATATATATATATAGATAGGAAGAAGATATATATATATATATATATATATATATATATATATATATATATAGATCTTCTTCGCGTGCCATATCAGAATTATCCGACGTTGGCGATCACCATTGCGAAGGCTTCTCGATCTTCTGCAATATAGAATAATTGTCCTCCATTTGGTATCTGAGAACATTCACGAATTTTTTTTAACCAAGAACCTTTTTTTCTTCCTACACCTCTACGGCCCTTTATTTTACCTTTAAGGATCAGTTGTAATATTTTATATCGACTTTCCCTTACTATATGTCCCAGATAAGACATTTATCGATATTTAACAGTCTTTAGCAGTTCTCTATCTTTGTTGACGCTCCTTAGTGCTTCTTCATTTGTTGTCCTTGCTGTCCAAGGTATCTTCAGCGTTCATCTATGAACCCACATTTCCAATGTTTCAATTTTTGTTCATGATCGATACTTTTAGCATCGACACTTCTGCACTATTCAAAAGTACGGACCAAACATAGCACTTAACCATTCTTTGCCTTAGTTTTAAACTGAGATGGTTATTGCAAAGAAATGACTTCATTTTCACAAAAGTAGTTTTAGTCATTGCTATTCTACGTTTTATTTCTATGTCTGGATCTAGTTGGTCCGTTATCACAGTTCCCAAATATGTCATTTTGTGAACTCTCTCAACTTGGACTCCGTTTAATTGAAGCTTTGCATTGGGATGCGGGTCACGACTAAACACTAAAACTTTGGTTTTGTTTGTGTTTATTTTAATGCCCATTTCCTCTCCTACCTTGTGAATACGATGAAGCAGAATTTGAAGACCTTCAATATTATCTGATAGAATTACTGTATCGTCTGCATATCTAATCACGTTAAGTAGTTCCCCGTTGACTTTTATTCCATGTAAATGTATTTTGTAACACCTCAACATATGCATTTGACGTTGTTTGATATCTATATATGACTTTACAATCATAAGACCTGAAGAAGTGCAGAAATACTTTAATAACGTTTTCTATTAAAAGATTGAAATAGCTTTTTCATTTTTTATTTCTCTTCAACCGATATCCTCATTTACAGTGAGATTTGAATCCCACTCACATTGTGTATTTAAATTTAGACGGTCGTACTCCTTTCAATAATATCTTTATATATATATATATATATATATATATATATATATATATATATATATTATATATATATATATATATATATATATTATATATATATATATATATATATATATATATATATATATATATATATTATATATTAAAGAATGTCGCAAATTGAATTATTCTTCAAATCTTGTTATTTATTTTATTACATTATTTTTTATCCAACATTGTAATGCTTTCCTGTTATAGGTCTGAAAGTGCTGCTGACGCAAATCTTTTAGATCAAATACAGGCCAACAACAAAAGAAGTTGTTCGAAAGCATTAAACTTTAATAATAATGGCACTGATGAAAAAGAAGAAATCGAATACGGAGATAATGAAAATAACAGTCCTGGAAAGTAAGTACCGGTTATTCTTTTAGTGCCTAAGATGTTTTAATTTATAAATTGTGTTTTGTCTGTTACATATTTATGTTTTATTTAATGATGTATTTCTTTTATTGACTTCTTTGAATGATCCGACGCCTAAGGGGACAAAAGAATATGAAAAGAAGATTTTTTTCCATATAATATATAGCGGATCTCGGAAATATCTTGATATTTCTATTAGAATGAAATTACAAATCGGTACAAGCGCCAAATTTTATTCGAAGACACACCTAGAGGCTACCAAAATACTAAAGCACACGATTACCTTTAACTAATAAGGAGGTTATGTATCCGTGGCGAATTAAACAAAAAATGATCTATTACTATAAGATAATTAATAATAATTATATTAATATCAACTATTTCTCCTTCGATGGCCCTGGCAAGATAAATAAACTTTAATTCATAGGTGCAAATAATCATCAAATTTTAAATGGTGCAATAAACAATCAAAACAATTTATAAGTTCAGGTAAAAATAGGTAAGACTTACCGGAAATTGAAGCTAATTACCATGGTTTACACTACTTTACGAAACAACGAACAAAACGAATTTAATATATGTGCATTGGTTCACTATCGGGTTGCGTCTGTTCCTCTTATCGACGATCACGTTTTTGTGGTTCGCGAGATGCATTCCCCGTGCGGTACTATAGGGATCGTAGGGATACAGGGAGGACAAATGTATCGGTTCATTTACACAACCATATTTGAATTTAAACAGTATCTAAACAGGATGGGGGTATCTACGCTACGAAATACAAAACTCCATAAGCACCTATTTGGACCAATCAACTAAAGACATTCGAAGGTTATAAATACCACATATATACGAGAAACAGCATAAGAGAGCGAACGAGACATGCTACTGTTAATCAATGTCAAATATTTCTCGTCATTTAAAACCAAATCATAATTCTATTGTTATGTTTTAGGGTGTCTCGTGAAGTGATAACAGAAAATGATCCACTAGGCGCTTTTACCGTTCCGCTTGAAGAAACAGCCTCCACTCAACCGTCCCAAACTGCAGATTCTAGCTATACCCGGAATTCTTCTAATCTTTCTATCGAACCCGTCCTTTTCCGATCATCCGTTCAGCGATCAGCCACCTTCGAGGGAAGTCCACCATCGCAAAATAAACTACAACGTTCTGAGACTGTGCCTGCAGCTACGGTTGCTTCGAGTTTGGCCAGTTTCGGATCAAGTTTGAAGCTTGGATTTAGGTAAGAGAATGATTGATGCATATTTAATATAGTGTATAGATTTTTGGTCACCTTTTGTTAAGATAAATGTAGACGAGGGTCTACAAGCTCAATTTATGAAAAATGGTAAACATTATTCAGTAGAAGAGCATAAATATTCAACTTGCGTATTATAGGACAAACCGTCTCGGAAGAATGGGAAACTGCCTATATACCATCAGTTTATTATAAAAAGGCGACAGAAAACGATTTGAAAATTACAGGGGATTATCTATAACAAGTGGAGTCACTAGATGCATGTCAAGAAGACGAAGAATAAAGCGGATTTCGTGCTGGAAGAACATGTAACGACATTGTATAATCAGGTTCGAACAAATCATTGAGAAAAAATGACAACTTACAGAGAAATATACAGGGTTCGGATGTATCCTTAACTTATTTACACCCTCTACTCATATATTTTTGCAAATTTAAAAAAAAAACTTATTCCCAATTCATAAGTACCAAGTTTTGTAGAAAAAAATTGTTAAAACGAGAAATAAATCATTTATAGTTAAAGAATAGATGAACTTATTTACTAAGACTAATGAGAATAATAATAATTTCAAAAAATCTCTTCAAATGTTAAAAATGCTCGCAGTTCACATCCTAACGATGTGTAAGCATCTATTAATTTATTTACTAGTCTTAATAATAACAAAAACAAACAATCGTTTTTTCATTACATAGATAAAAGGGCGCATAACTCCTGTGCGCATAACTCCTGGGCAGAGCCTGGAAAAATTGTGAGGTGAGTCTCATGTAAAGGAAAGGAGCTGACGTTACAATTTCATTAGGGAAATTTTATTCATCTATTCTTTATCTGTAAAGTGATTTATTTCTAGTTTAAAAAAAAATTTGAAGTGAATACTTCTTATCGCTGAGTATGATGTTTTGCACGGGGTCTAAATCATATTTAGCGTGACTCAAAAAATCGAAATGAGTACAGTAACCTTGCGATATACAGTAATATACATACATATACACTTGATATAAAAATAAAATGACGTTTAACAAATTAGATGACAAAAATGATTTTATTTTTTATAGCTTTATTATAACAAGTCAAGAACGACTGGATCGATTTGGCTAATGTTGATTTTAAAAAATTAAATAAAATAAATAAATTAAATTAAAAACTAACATTCCGTGCGTAGACGATAAAAAAGCTATACTTCTCCTCGTTGGTCACTCTCGGAGTGCAACATCCCCTTTTTTGTTTTTTTTTTTAATCTGTTTTAATTATATATGTATAATATAATCCAAATGAACTGATTAAACATAAATACAATACAATAATGAAAATGTAAATGATGAATGAATTCTATATTACATATATTTAACAAATTTTGAAAATTACTAAAATCAGTAAACAAATTTTTAAAGAACTTAATGTGGTGATATTATTAAAAAATATTGACAATTCAGTAATAAGCGGACATAAAATTTCATTAACCCACATATAGCCTGGCAAATATTAAATGAATCTACAAATCACGCGTTGTAAGCGGTCAAAAGTAGCCGAAGTCACGTGTCTATCATGCATTTTCGGAAATTTTGAATTCAATCATTTGCGGCGCGTAAGAAAATATGTTTCCTTGCTGGATACTTTACATTGTAACAATAGAATATTATATTAATTTAATATTATATTTCTGCTTATAATAATAAAAATAATACATTAGATCTAGTTTGTAAAATAAGTTATCATAAAACGTGTTTCTTGGAAGAAGTTATACATCGAGTCATGCATGACATGAATCATATTGTTGCAACTACAATACTCCCCGCAATTAATTCTACGTATTGTGTTTACGGCAGTAAATGGAACGAAACACAATTATCGAGTTCGTTATGTGTGAGAAAAATTTAATTCTGTTAAATGTGTCAAATAACCGCGAAGTCTATTTAATAACGGAATTAATCAATGTCCTGACATTATGTCGAAATGTGTTCACATAGCAAAATAAAGATACAACAGATGAATCAACAGCCGAATCAGCAGACTGCCGCAACTACACAACGAAGCAATTTACTTTCATTTTATAAGCGTTAATAAGAAACCAAAAATTCCGTCAAAGGAAGAACTGGAATACAAAGTAAACGTTTAACTTACATGGTATGGAACAATAATGATAACAGCCCAACAAAATATAAAAAATATTGATACTCTGATTTCAAGAGTGACATCTTTTTCAAAGTAGATTTTTTTGAATCGATGGTATAAATTTAACTTCCTCGAAAAGATATACACAAAGGCACCTGGAAATCACCAGACGGACTTATAGTAAATATGATAGATCATTCTATTGTAGACTCAAGAAACCAATCCAATGTAATAAACGTTCGCACCAGAAGAGGAACAAATGAGGGTTCTGGTCATTACTGGATCGAAAGTAGGGTATGGGCCAGAATTTTAAACGTTTAAAAAAGGAAATGGGGACTAAACATGAACGATACAATATAGAAGGACTTAAAAATACAAACAAAAATAGAGACTATACACAAAATATAAACACCAAACTAGAAAACAGACTAAAATATGAAAATATAAATGAAGAGTGGGAAGGGTGCAGAAACAAAGAAGAACAAGAACGAATGACTGATTTGATGAAGAATATCACATTATAATAGAGAGAAAAAACAGAGTATATTTTTTAATCATGTAACAGGGGTATAGAACCCGGCAAGCAGAGGAGGAATATAAATAACTACGCAAGGAAGAAAAGAAATTTAACCGCAGAAAAAGAGAGAAACTATGAACAAAGAACTTCAAGAAGTCCAAGAAATTCGGAGCCAATAGACGAGAAAATTTTAGTAGAAACTGAACAAAAGCAAAAAGGAATTCAAACAAAAGAAGTGAAGAGATAAGGAGGGTAATATATTGATAGAACAGCAAGAAAAACTAAGAAGATAGAATTCCCGAATGAGACCAAAAATGTTTTAGATTATATTGATTTATTAGTTGTTCATTTGTAATACTTCATTTAACGTTTTTTTGTATAAAAATATTGCTTTTAATTATGTGTTCTTAATATGCCATACTCAAATTAAAAAAGAAATTCTCTGCTACTGATACGCTTCTTGGTAAAATTTGGTAAGGACAGCTAAATTATATGATAACTTACGATATCACGCGTATGACTCATTTCATTATTTCTTTGCTGGAGTATAGTAATAACGCGCTATAAGAAGTATTCGCTTGTATCGACACTCCACAAGTATCACGCGCCGTTTTGTTTTCTTCTATACTTGGTATCCATGAATTTTTAATAATAAGATCTTTTAAACCTGTAAAAATATACAGTGTGTGTCATTTAAATTAAATAAGTTAAGGGTATTTCTTATGGACGTTAACACAGATTGACTCAGCTATTTACATAAAATTGTGTAGTCAAAATTATTTGAATAGGTCACATTCTCAGCACCTTCAACTCTTGTCACGTTTTGTTTTAAAATTTCTTATTCGCGAGTCGCTGAAAATATTACTCCGTATTTTATACTCTACAGGTGCTATTAAACCAAAATAATAATTTATTGGTTAGATTAATATATTTAATTGTAATCAAAATATCAAGTATGCACATAGTGTGCATTATCATTTAATAATAGCGTATAATAGATATCAATCAATTATTTTATATGTAGAAGCACTGAAAACTATTTATAAATGGCAACGGTTGTTTACATTTCTCTGTCTTATGGATCTACGTCAAACTTCAAATGCTGTTCCATGTTTGTTTACTTTTTACAGTAGACGAGGAAACGTTATTTTTCAATATTTGGCTGTATTTTGAGTGATATTTGTGAAAAGTGAAATAAAATAAACGAAATATTTACATCCCGATCTCTTATTTCATTTGTAAGTACATACAATTTACATTATTTAAGATGAAGAAATGAGGAATGGTGTTTGTTTACATTTTAATAGGCGTACCATTGGGTATATTCATGTTCATTAATGCATTGAATAAGATATGAGTTCATGAAATTAGTAGACATTTATAAATTGTAAGAAGCCATCATATGATTAAAAAAGATCTGTTTAGTACCTTTTTAATTTAATATTTCTCGTGAATACAAATAAATTAGTGAAATGAATAAAACTCATTTATTTTTCTATGTAGGTTTCCAAATAATATTGACGATCGAACTATTTGGGTAGCAAATTAAGGAGAAAACATAAAGATTTTTTATTGTAGCATTATTTTGATACCTATTAAAAAATTAACTTGAATTCAACTATATTTAATTGTATTAATTTTAAAGCAAATAAAATTGTATTTTAATTTTTCTATAAAGACGTGATTTGTTAATAGTTAAACTCTCGTTTTTTTTTTAAATTCTTTAAACGTGTTTTTATACATTATTACTACTTCCAATTTTTAAAATCTGAATAATTATCCGCGAGTAAAAATTCAAGCACGCTTATGCTCATTGCGGAAGCATCATATTCTATCGAAGCTTCAAAACATTGTGTGTTAAAGGTATCTTATTGCTGTGTCCATCTATGTTTATACGTCCATGGTATTTCCGGTGATACCAGAAGTACAGTAGTAACAAAAAATATGGCATCATGTGTCATTGTACTTGTATGCAAAGTTTTCAGTGTTTTATGGTTATATTAAAAATAATCGAGGGTGGCGTCTTCTAGAAGATGTATCCTCTCTTAATTTTTTAAAATCTTAACAAAAGGAGATTAATATTTAATAATCGAATCGTGAAGTTGGTGATGCCTGGCAGACTTAGTGAATAGTTAAAAATATGATTGGGATTATTCCGATTGGTGAAATAAAATTACCTTAGAACAAAGCATGCTCTGATTATTTAGCGACTATATTGCTAATATTTTTGGATTAATTAAACAGTATTTTACTTGTATGAGTTCTTATAATAGTTTCAAAACCGTATAAAACAAAATTTGTAAATTTTATTTAGAAAAAGCAAGAATTTTATTCATTATGCACGTTAAAGTCGAACTCAGATATATATCGCCCGTCGAAACTGTAGCCACTTCAAAGATGAGTGCGTGGAATTACCCATTTCTTCTTCATCTATGGTCGATTATGGAATGTTCAAATACTGGCCGAAGTAGATGAGCTAAATCTTTCAGCGCGCTACATTCATATTGAGTCCCCACTTTCTGGACTTAGTTTTCCACAGTATTTAAATGTCCTAGTAGAAATAATTATCCACCTGACGGTTGATTTGAATTAGCAAATATGTATTAATCGATTGTTCAAGCTATCGATAATTTCGAGGATGATAATATAATTTTTCCAAAGCATGGAAAAGCATCCAATAAAATCCTACGTTAGTGCATTATGTAATTGTAACGAAACCATAATTTGTAATAAAGATATTTCAGTGCAGTTATTTACCCCCAGGGAAAAATGAGGTTAAAAGCAAAAAGGAACCATTATCCACGTTCTGTCTCACACTTTAACTTGTAGATTGGAACTGATGATACGTATACGAACCGTTTTCCATTAAAGAAATGAAGTAATAATATCGTTGTTTTTCGTTTCCAATATAGTTGACCCATAACCCTTACACATGTAGCCCATATTATGTAGTTTATATATAGCGCGGCATGAGTTAAGGATATTGAAAAAATAATAGTAATGGTACTACATTCTGCATCAATTGAACATTATTATAGTTTATAAAAAAAAACATGAAAATTTGATACCTTATAAAAAGAATCAGACGAAAAAACTTTCTAAGAATTGACAAAGCACCTTTACAGCCATTTGAAAATGACTTTTGTTTTCTCAAACGGGATAAACAAATATAATTGTTTAAAAACTACTTGGCCGATTATGCCCATCTTTCGCAACTGTAGTAAATACATAAAAACTCACATTATGAAATGTGATTTAAATGTTTTTGTTGTTTATTTTAATAATTATTTACAATTAAAAAACATGCTTACTTTCGGGTTTAATTTGCAATAACTTTTTTGTTTATAAACATTTTTTAGTTAAGAAAATCTCATTTTCAGGAAAGTCGCCTTTGAAAGTTTCTATCTAGAATGCGTGGTTTTTTCACAATATTGAAATGAATGAAAAATGAATGAAAAAAGAAGAAAAAGAAAAAAAAAGATTTTTTTGCTTAAATGTCATGACGCAGTGAAAGTTTCGATAACCACGAGATAATACGCCTTCTCTATTCACTTCCCCTAGATATTTCCCCCAGTTTAAAAATACCGCCCAGAAAATTTTCGATTTTTCAAGTGATTTTTCGGCTTCGTTTCGTTGTGTAATAAACTATAACCAGCTTATAAATGTAATTTAATTTAATTATTTATTTCTTTGAATAAAAAGAACAAAAAATTAGTGTTCATTGATGATGTAGATAAGTGACTTAGTTGATTTATACGGTTGTATAATTGTTGCATTATATTTATAGAATATTTAGCCGTATCCCTAACTTATGTCTCGCAGTTTACATTTACCATTTGAAACGAAAAGTCCCCTTTTCTCAAAGTCGATTGAATACTACGAAATTTGTGATTTGTTTGTTTTCAATGGCCAATTCTGTATATCTGAAGTCGACTACAACTTGAAAACCGTCAGTGTTTAAATCTGTACAATGATTATTTAATTAGCTTTCCCATTCAGGCTAATTAATTTTACTGCAAAATCGTATTATACATTTTATAAAAGAATAAAAGTTCATGGTCTGCCGGCCAACACCTTTAACTAAAAAAGAAGCATGTAGCATATATATGTGTAGTGCATCTTACGTAAAAAGCTTGTGCTGCACGTTGATTAGTAGATCGAGAGTAGTAGATGTTTCCATTTTAGCCGCTATTCACCATCACGCCTTTCCCTGCGCAAAGCTGATCTGAAAATGCCGCATCAGTTCATTGAGAATGCCTTTAATAACTTCGGGTAAGTATTGGAAAACGTATACAGAAACTATAAAATACATATTCAACAAAAGTCTTAAACTGCTTCTTGATAACAAACGTTTATTTTTGGATTTAGATAAATTTTGTACTAGAAATTGAAATGTGAGTTCGATCAGTGTTACCGTACTTGGCAACTAGTGTTTTTTTTTTTAATGTGATGACGTTTACTCAGGAAAATTTCAGATTATTTCAAACTATGCTAGGTTTGTCAATTTTAAAAATATTTGTAAAACGTTTCGTTCCAGAGACTCATTAGCATCTTAGTATTTTGCAGATGTGTATATATTTCTGAGTCTAAAAATGACCTACATCAAGGGAGTCTAATTATACTCAGTGTACCCCAGCACTGGCTTTGTTTCTCTGCGGCTCTCTGAGTGTTGCCAATGATCGAAAAATATTCTCGAAAGAAGGCGTTTATAACCTGCTCTAGTTCACAAGATATTTTACTGATATCAGGTATGTCGCACCAGTTTCTCTGCGACCTTCATTTAATGTTGCACATTAAAACGTTTTTACCGCCTGTCGCCTCTTAAAATATGACCTAAACCCTTCGCTGTTTGAGGATATTTAGAAGCTCTCTTTGGATGCTATTTCTTCGTAAGAATTCTTCATTTGTAATATGGTCGACATTTCGAACGCTTCAATACGGTTTATCGATCTTACTTTAAATGACTAGGTCTCGCTACCGCACATTATTATTGACAATATAGCTTGGGCCTTCGTCGTAGACCCACTTACTATTTAAGATAGCTCCAAGATATTGAAGTTTCTCAATTATATCTATAAGTTGCTTGTTTTTTTTTAGAGTTTAAAATTTTTAGCTAAAATCATCATCATCATCTTTGGCTCGACAATCATCTGTAGATCCTGGTCTGATCTAAGATTCGTCGCCATTCTATTCGGTTTCTGGCAACGTGTTGCCATCTTCTGATCTCTAGTACGTTTAAGTTGGTTTCAACTCCATCTAACCACCTAATTCGCGGTCGGCATCTGCTTCTTCTTCCTGTAGGTGTTCCTGTCGTTAGCTTTTTCGCAATCATGTTGCCAGGAATTCGTATTATGTGTCCAGCCCATTTAAGTCGCTGTGTTTTAATAAACGTTACGACATCTGGTTCATTAAAAACTTGGTATAATTCGAAATTATATCTTTTGTGCCACTGCCCTTGGTCGTTTATAGCTCCAATTTTTTGTGGAGTATCTTACGCTCGAATATTTCCAGAAGTCTTTCATCCTTCTGCGGTAGAGTCCATGTTTGCGCCCCGTATGTGAGGACTGACCTCAGTAGTGTTTTGTATATAATAATTTTAGTTTTTCTTTGGATATTTCTTGAGTGGAATTGTTTTTGGAGTCCATAGTATGCCCTATTTGTAAGGTTTAATGGTCTTTTAATTTCTTTGTTTTTGTTGATTCGTTGATGACTAGACCGACCCGTTTCACCGCCGTTTTACAATTATAGGAAATATTGCTTAACATCTCGCTTGCTACACCCTATTATGTCAATGTCATCAGCGTAGGCTAAGATTTGTATCGATGTATTGTAAATAGTACCGCCGTCTCTAATTCGTGTGTCTCAAACTGCCTTTTCCAAGAAATGGAGACAAGCCAGGGCATCCCCTTGTTTAAGTCCATCCTTTATCTCAAAGGATCAAGAATTTTCTCACTGTATCCCTTAAAACGCCGGTTTTGAAGTTATACATTGCCATTTTCGTTAATCGGATCTGTCTTATTGAATGAATTTGGTTGATGGTGTTGATTTTTCTGGAGTAAATCCAGCCTGGTATTTTCCAACTATGCCAACTCTGTTAAAACTAAAATACAAAAACAAATAAATCCGCAAAATCGGTGATATAAACTTAATTAAAAATTACAATATTCATTCTTGAAATTTAAGTATGCTTTTTTGTGTAAAACTGGTCTTGTGTCAACTAATCTCTACCAAAAACGCTGGTAACAAAGCCGTACCTATTCAGTTCAATTCATCTATCCACGTAAGACTAATATTATTTATAAATAATTTATTTATCAATTTATTAATAAAAATTAATAATTAAACTCAGTTATTTAAAAAGAATAACAATAATGTTTTAATTTTATTGAATATGTATTTTATTTTACCATTATGACCATCAGTAAAATATTAAATAGTTTGAAAAGGCATGCCAGTTTTAAAAATATTTAAATAAACAGTTTTTAAATTATGTACATACCATTAATGCCACTATATATAATACAAGCATGTCCAAACCACTTTGATCTCCTGTCATCATTTTAATTAGTAACTTAAAGCAGTTTGTTAATCAAATTAGTATTGAATCATATTTAGAAGAATACTAGCTACCACAATAAAATATTGTACGACGGCCTACAGAAATGTAGAAAAATTTAATTCCCGTTAAACCCAATCCTTACGCAAGAAATCCATTTTAAGGTCTCAAAGCTTTCTGAAAGCGGCGTGCTACCTAGAGGACATCAACTCTTTGTGTCCCCAAACCTTCTTCCCCCTACATCTTCGCATACCTGCGTAAATAGTCGATACCTATGGAAACATTCTTTAAGAGTACCACAATCCCTAACACAAAGAACAGGAGGAAATTGGTTTTCTGTAGTTTTCCAATCTCATTGTACAACACAGCTACTCCTAACACATTTACTAAAGAATGTCCAAAGCAATTTAAAATTACCGTTTTCTTGATGGTATGGCTCTGAATTCAAGTTTTGGTTTTAAATAACCACCTAATCATCCGAGAAAAATCTTCGAAGTCTTTGCAAATCATCCAAACGATTCCAATGAAGGATACCATTACTTTAAAAATCTTCAAAAAAAAACTAAAACATGGATCTTCGCAGCATTAAGTACTGCGTTAAGTACTGTGTTAAGACTGGAAAACTCCATTTAGCACCTTTCTTTTGGTGCTACCTGGGCCTCCAACGTTTGGCATCAGCCGTATCAACGACTCCAGATTTCGGTTCGCCTTCTCTATTGTCTTTTGGATGTGTACTCCGAACCTTTGTCCTTCCGACAACCAGACTCCCAGATACTTAATTGATTTTAGTTATAGTTTTTAATTTTGAACTTTTTGACCAGTCCAGCCCTATATAATTCTTTCACAATTTCTTCTAAGCTGTTTAGGTTGTATCTCTTCACTAGATGTTTCATCTTTTACTTGTTAATTTATAATTCTCGTCGTTTACATTCCTTTAGTTTTCTAGTCATATATTATAATTGTCCATTCCTTACATTTTTTTCCTTTGTCTTAGGAACTTTGCAATGTTTATGCTATGGAGAATCGGTGACATACAGCATTGTTGAAGAACGACTAGTCTACATCAGGACTAGTATTATTCGTAAAAAAAAACAAGGACTATTGCACTAGTAAGAATATGGCGATGGCTTTAGAAAAAATATATCTTTGAATCGCCATAGAGATACCATGCTTTTTCAAACATTTAAATACTCATCGTTTGGTTCTGTTAAAACAAATACTAAGGCTACCAGAAAAATAGGTTAACACATGTCTGAAAAGGTTTGAAAAGATAATAAACACTGTTTCTTTAATGATTGCCAACCTCATACATCTAATATCATAAATACTATGGAGAAAAATACTTGCTCATTAGATCGGTTTTTATTTAATTCCCGCTAACAATCCTTAGAAGAACTAACGTTCTTAAGAATTGCTGACTGATTATTTGGATTTTTGGCTGAGTGAGTAGATATCTCTGGTTTTGAGGTATGTTTTCTTTATTGCAGCTGAATTTTTATCAAGATGTAAACCTATATACAAGCTATTTAATACCCTACAATTCTATATGTTGGTTTTCTAGTCCATAAAAAATGGATACCAGTTATAATAAAAAGTGTATGTACCAGAGTCATCTTATTATCAAGGGGGCCGTCGGTGATTTATAAATTTTGACTTAATCCCTATTTAAAAAAGGCTATTGATCGGTTTGCCTTCGAAGAGTTTCCGAAAGTTTCGTTGTAATCATAACACTTGTTCTAAACAAGGTTAAAATAAAGAGTCATATTCTGAAGTGCATAAGTGCTATACTTGGAATCAAATTTGTAGGCAGTAAATTCTCCGAACTGTGAATGCCATAAAGCGACAACATCGTTGCCAGTTTGTGATGATAGATATTCTAGCAATTTATAATTTAATCATTGACATGCAGCAAAATTATCATATTAATGATCGTTTTGTATTTGTTAAGGTATCTAATAAAATGTATAATAATAATAAAATATTATATTTATATGAAATACTTATATATCGAAAACATCTAAAGTACGATAATATTCTTTGTAAAAGTCATACATGACAACATCGTATTCTAGGACCGGTAGAAAGGAATAGTGGATTCTTCACAATTTCAAAATTTTTCAAAAAGTTGTCCACATAATTTGATAAATAGTTTAATAACACAATATTCTAAATTATTTGATAAGCACAAATTAATTAATGAACTAAGTATCATTTACGAAGATGAACAATTTTATATTTTAAATGTTATTCATATCTTTTAATATTTTAACAAGAAATAATTAATCTGAATATTTTCTGAAGCATACAAATTATTTGTTTTAATTGCTACTATACCCGCAACTTCAGTTTCCGTTGAACGTAATTTTTCTTGTTTAAAAAGAATTAAAACTGTTTAAGGAACACTATGTCGCAAAATCGTCTGACAGCTTTGTCTTTACTTTCAATTCAGAAGGATTTTCTTTCCAGTTTGTCTAACAATGAACAATTTTACGACACAATTATAAATGAGTTGCTTCTCTCCGATGACCATCACACAATAAAATTTTTACTCCAAACTTTTAAAACATTCACTCTCTTTTTCTCATTCCAAACTCGTTAACCAATTAGAAAATTTCTATATCCCGCCTCTTATTTTATATCAGAAAAACTCAAGCATCGCTTCGAAACAACTTTCTTTGAAAATGATCTTTATCTCATACTTTCTAAATATAATAACTACCTGGCGGCTTTTGGCTTTTCCAGCGAAACAAAAACAAAGGCTTTTAAAATATTATATCTACAAATACCGGGAAACAATTGTCTATTCACTTTTAAGTATTTACTAATGTTTTTCAGTCCTTCAGAGTAAAACTAATTATGGATAAACCCACTGCTTAAAACTAACTTATAACAAGAATTTACAAATCGTTGTACAGGACGTTGCAAATTTATGTGCCCGGGTTCTATAACAAATTCATCTTTACACAACAAATCTTTATTCCATCTTTGATTGATAAATTAAATCATAACAATATATATATATATATATATATATATATTTTTTTCTTAAATCAGGAGAGTTTCTTTGGGTTCATCAGAAGTATGTTTGGGGGGCACCACATCACCGAAACTGTTCGCTATACTTTTGGAACATATATGTAAATATGAAATAGGCAAATCTGACTCATAAGGACATGAATATAAACTAAGAAAATTTTATCCATCTGAGGTTTAAGGATGATATTGTGTTAATAACTGATAGTATAGATGAGGCCAAGGAACTTCTAAATCAGCTCTACCTTTCCTCTTTAGAAGAGGATTGAAAATAAATATGTCTAAAACCCAGATAATGACAAATCTTGTAGTCAGTGAAAATATATACGCAAGAACAAGATCCATATATCAGGCAATGGCCTATAAATACCTTGGTCATAAGATTGACATAGGAAAACATAATCAAACTGTTAAGATTCTCCTTCGTATAAGATGGTTTTGGTCAGCTTTCGAAAAGTTAAACAATGTTTTCAAATGTATGACTTCCCAACATGAAAAACCTGTAATCAGTTTGTGTTGTCGGTGTTGACTTACGAAGCGGAAACGTTGACCATGAAAAAGAGAAGATGTGCAGAAGATCCATGTGGCTCAAAGGGCGCCCTTTGTTGGGCGTTTCTCTATGAGATAAGAACCCAAACCGCCAGCTGCGACGAAAATCAGGAGTAGCTGATGCTATAGAGGGAATAGTAACGCTGAAATGGAACTGTGCATGTCACATGCCACGGTTGACAGATAACAGACGGACAAAGTGGGTACTGGAATGAAGATCGCGAGATAATGCCTACCGAAGTAAAGGTCGTCCACCAACACTGACTATCTAAAACTTGAAGATCTCAGAACTGTGAATGTTATATATAATTCAACTGACTTGAATACTGATTTGTTACCTTGTTAATTGAGGATGCGATGATGATTTCGGTGTGCTCTCCATGATAAAGAGATGTTTGACCTATTAAAGTTCCTGCTGACTGCTCCAGAAATGTGGAGCATATGGATAAGTAAATTAAAAGTCAAGAAATATATTGTAGTCTTAGTTTATACTGCAATTGACTGTGTAATCGTTATCGAAGTAATATTTTAATGATTGTTAAAATATTTAGTTATATTAACCATGAAATAGAACCAAGCGATAGATAATGCTGTACATAGATATAGAATAGTGAAATATGGAAATGCTGCATGTTGTTTTGAGGATTGTCGTTACATTTTAAGTGTTTTGTTTCTTCTAGTCCAAGTAGTTTAACTAGTAAAAAATCCAACGAACTAATACAAGGTGGTCTCAGTTCGATCAAATCGGCGGCCACTACAATGGTAAAGAAGATGGAAGAAATCAAAGAAGCCATATCAACGTCCACCAATTCGACACCTGTTAAAGTCTTGACGGGTGACAGACTGGCGACTGGAGACGCTCCTGAAGGTACGGAAGGCGATTCGAATGATGGAAGTGATTGTGGAGACAGACACAGAAAGATTTCCACTGAAATGAGCAGTTATAGAGGAAGCGTAACCAATTTGAAGGAGTACGATGAAATTCTGCCCGAGAGTCTGTTTCCAATGCCGAAAGAGGATAAAACTGGTAAGATGTCATTTATTTATATGGTTTTTCTTAAAAAAAATCACCTAAAAATTAATGCTATACAGGAGGAAACGAATCAATTGTAGAGTTTTAACCGCCATGTAACCTGGTAAATATTTCTATATATTACTTTACTTTAAGGGGGTATGTTCACGCCGCAGTTAAAATGAGTGGCATTCAATTAAACTAACATTTAAGAATTCTTTGAGTAGATGGCAGCACGTACATCATATTCTAATATTTTAATTTTCTCAAAATTTAATTCTCTGAACAGCGACATTGTTGCCGGTGATGAAAAGTACTGGAACTTACGATCGGTACAGTTGGCTCTCAATCGACAGTATTCTTCAATGTCAGTTGATATTAGTTATTAGTTTAAGTTTCACAAGTTCTAATTTTCGGATTGGATTACTGGATCATCCGATATAATTCTTGTATCGTGTTTTTGTTTATTTTCCTTTGAGGTTTAGTTGCTGTTTTGTTTTTGAGTGGTGTTGTTTTTATTTTTATAAACATTTTAAATTGTGTAGCCAGTCTTGTTTCCTAATATTGATTGACTGAATATTTTTTAACAATTCTAAGTATTGAAAATAGATATAAACAGTTAAAGTATATTATTTATCCTACTATACTCATTTTTAATTAATTTCAAATGTTTATTGATTTTTCAAATAAAAATTTACTAAAAATAATCATATTTTTCTTCATTCTTTGTTGTAAAGAAAATTATGAGAATAGGAAAAGGAATAAACAAAATTTTACTAATCTCTCTAATCAATAACAAATACCTTTTTATAATAATTTGATGACCATGGTACTTTGAAGAAAGAGGCTTTTTGATAATGTACCTAAGCATAAATTCTCACTAATAAATATAAAATGTTCATTTATTTAGAAATATTTTATTACTTATTGTATTCGGCAATTCTTAATTCTTTACCTACTCAAAAATATTTATGTCATACTGATAAAGAAATTTGCAATTGTGTGAAATAAAAGTAAATAATGATCGAAAAAGGGATTATACTAATTCTCAAGTGAATGAAGATTGAGTTACTATTTTATTTATAAGAATAGTATTTCTAAGAAAAGTCAGTTGAAAAACAGCGTCACTACAATAACAATTTTTTTTCATACCGAATGTCAACAGGGGAAATTTTTTCCTCAGAAAATTTCACATTTTCATCTGCTTTCTCATTATTACTTAAGTAAATTACAATAATTTTATTCACTTACGGAAATATTTAAATGTACTGACAAAAATTATTCGATGATCACATAATACTGTTTTGTCTATAAAAATTACATTTGCCAGAGAGTGAATAAAACTGAAATTGTTTTTAAATAAGCCCCACGTGACATGCTAGAGCTTATATAATCTATGTATTATATAAAAATCAGTATAATCCCACATCAAACATTTCGAGATATTTTGGGCCTTGTTTGAGTTTCAACCATAATTATAATCTAACGTCACGGTACCAAGGAGAAAAATGGTATAATTGTGTTGTTAAGACACTGTGACGTTATACAGTCCTAGTTGAAGGTCAAACGAGGCCAAAATGTTTACTTAAAGGGGCCGCTTTGCTAAACAAAACCACGTGATTCGTATTTCCATGGTTACTACATAACCACAAAACTCGTTTTCAATGTTTTGCAGATTTTTCTTAAAGGCAAACGCGCATCTGTCGCCATTTAATACATCACTGCTGTCTTTATTAAATGACACGCGCACTTATCTTCCCATCTATGAAGTAACAGCCAAACTAATTTCTCACTACCAAAATGACACTTATTACTGTAATATCAACAAAATCCTAGTTTGCAGATTGTAATTTTATCTTTAGATACAGTTAATTTAAAAATTACGGCAGTATGGATAATGAAGTTTGGATAGTTAATCATTTAACATAGTTATTTTGTACCCCAAAAACTATTACTTGCCAAATTTTAGGCAGGTTACCAAGTAAGTTATAACATGGATTCATTTAAGTACAGTTATGAAAAATTTACTGCCTTCTTTGGAAATTTTAACTAGATCTCATTAAAATAAAATATTTACAGTTTACGTACATAACCATAAGTTGAAGATTTGTTTTGAAATAGTAACGATAACTGTACCTAAAAAGTATATAAATTTTAACATTGTGACATACCACTTTAATATACTGCCTAAAGTTAAATTTAGAATCATCCTAATATTTTCACATATTTTTTAATTCAAATCATACTTGTGCATAGATTTTGTGTATGTCTTAATGCTGGTTATGTCCTGGAATGGAATACGTAATTAAATACTGTAACACTTAGTAAACTGAAATACTAGAAACTAGGATCACTCCCACATACTCTTATCCATATTTTTTGTATTATTTAATCGACATTTAATTTTCTACCAGAAACTATTGACAAAAATTTTTCTGTATGAGCTATACAGCATTTAAATTTACAGCTATTAAAACAGGTACCAAGTGGAAGTTAGATACAGAGGAATTATTTTTGTATTTTAATTAAAATTGCAATAAAATACATGGTTAAAACAACAAAAAATAATCTGTAAAAACATAGTCCCAAAGTATTTCAAATACCAATTTCTTATACTAATTCGTTGGTTTCTATATATTTTTATTTTTAGAAAGTGAATTAGACATAACCTTAACTACGTGCTCACAATGCCACAACTGCTCGTGTCTTCTCTACGATGAAGACATCATGGCAAACTGGTCACCGGAAGACTCCAACTTAAACACAGTATGCCAGAACTGTAACAAACCGACCGTCCCGTTTTTGACTGTTTCAATTACCGGCCCAGATATCGAACCGTGCGATCCGTTTAGCATACCATACCTGAACCCTCTCGTTTTAAGAAAAGAACTGGAAAACATTTTAACACAAGAAGGTGATTTGTGCTTATCGGACTACAAGTTCGTCGATGATCACCCGATTATTTATTGGAATCTCGTGTGGGTGTTCGAGAGGATCAACGTCCAGACGCATCTCCCGAATTTATATTTGAGAAAAAAGGCATCCTCTGAAAATACTGGCAGCAGCAATAAACTTAACGTGGAGAATGGTGATAGGTTAGTATTCATCGCATTTTAAAAGAGAATAAATAATTTACATATTATATTATCACATTTTGAAGCACTATTTACATACTTACTTTAAGAAATCCATAAATTCTATACATTACGGCCAACGAAAAGAGGCTGCTCATCTGTGCGTAAATAAATAAGAAAGTTTCATGAGAGAGATAAAATAAGCTTGTAGTCATGCTTGTTCCTAATGTGGTGTTGCCTCGTCAAAAATTTTGTTGTGATTTTAATATTTAGAAAACATTGTATATTAAATATTATTTTAGACAATATTTACGTAAAGGATGTGGATAATTTTAAATTTAAGTTTGCTGCGTCATTATCCAAGGACAATCATTATTTGATCATGTATATATACATATATATATATATATATATAACAAGCGAGTCTTTTACAGCTGGCGCTGCTTCTCGCATCCTAATTTCCAGCGTTTTCTGTCGAAGCAATCTTCACTTGTTAGATCTCTGGCGGTCATTGCATCGTCGACATCGTCTCTCCAGGATCGTCTTGGTCTATCTCGTTTTCTTCTAGTTGGCGGAGTCCATTCTTCTATTTTTTTTGACCATCTATTTTCCGGCATTCTCTGAAGGTGTCCATACCAGTTAGGTCTTTTGGCTTCGATTGTGTCTATTATGTCTAGATCAATTTCCATTTCTCTCCGAATATCTTCGTTTCTCACCCTATCAAGTCTAGTGAGCTGGCAACATCGTCTCCAGTAGTTCATTTCCATGGCCTTAATTTTTGATTTGTTTCTTTGGTTTATTTCCCAGAGTTCGGCACCGTACAGTCCAATACTTTCTATTATTGTTTTATAAATTCTTCTTTTATTTTCTTTTGTTATTTTTCGTTCCATAATAGTCCGTGTGGCTGATCTTGCTTGGCCAATCCTGGAATGTATTTCTTCGCTACTTCCTGCTTTTGATGTTATTTGGACTCCCAAGTATTTAAAATTGTTTGTTGGTTTTATAGTTCCCATTTCGATTTGTAGACTTTCTGGTTTCTCTCCTACAACTAAGTACTCAGTTTTTTGTATATTAATTGTGAGGAACCATTTGGTGTACTCATCTTCCAGTTTTCTAAGCATGTATCCTACATCACTCTCGTCTTCAGCTAGAATGGCTTGGTCGTCAGCGAAGTGTATCGTGTACAATCTATCATCTCCGATTGGGATGCCCATATTACAGCACTTTCTTCTCCACAGTGAGAGTGCCTCATTTAGGTATATTTTGAAGAGTGTAGGTGCTATGCAGCAGCCTTGCTTTAGGCCCTTACTAATAGGAATTTCTCTAGTTAATCTATTTTCAGTTTTAATGTTTTCCGTCATATTTTTGTAGAGCTGTTGTATTGCTTGTATATTTTTTTAGCTTATTCCTTGTTTTTCCATTGCTACCCAAAGCATTGAGAGTGGTACACTATCGTATGCCTTTGTCAGATCTATAAAGACTATATGAGTTGAAAGGTTGTGGGCTAATCTTTTCTCGATAACTTGCTTTAGAGAGAATATACTGTCCATACAGGATCTGCCTGCACGAAAGCTATTCTGTTCTTCTGCATCTATCATCTCTTTTTCAATTTTCTCTTTTATAATTTTTCCATACAGTCTTGAGAGTGAATTTATGACACTTAGCCCCCTGTAGTTTGAGTAATTCTTTCTATCTCCTTTTTTTGTAGATGTTGTTAATATGTGCTTTTGTCCACTCCGGTGGTAAGTCGTGTCCATTATAGAATAAGGTGAAGACATGCGCCAGTAATTCCCGTAATACTTGTGGGCTATGTTTTAATAATTCATTTGGTATACCTTGTGGTCCGCATGACTTCCGATTTTTTAGAGTTCGTATTGCATTTTCGACTTCCTGTACTGTTATTTCATCGTCTTCACTGAATTCCAGTTCATATGTTGTTGTACTGGTGTTCGTGAATTGAGGTCTTGTTTCAGTCAAAAGTTGTGAGTAGTGTTCGATCCAAGATCTTTCTTCTATTAAATCTATTCTACTCGTTTCTTTTCTGTTTGTTTTCAAATTTTTTTTTCCGTTTTCCATGCTTCTCTTGATCTTGTTGACCCTATATATTTGTTGAGTTCTTCGCATTTACTTTCTCAGGAAATATTTTTTGCTTTAGTTACTAAATTTTTTACATCTCTGTTTGATCTTGCATATGTTCGTCTATCATCTGGATCATTTGTTTGCAGCCACTTTTGATATGCTTGTTTCTTGTTGTGTACTGCATTGGCGATGTCATTTGTCCACCACAATGGAGTATTCTTTTTGTTCTTTTGGATTGTGCCGAGCGCTTCGTAAGCTGCTTCATTTATTGTATTGATTATCTCTTTATAGGTATTCTGGGCTAAGGAGTAGATCAGGTTTGCCAATTTTTGGCTAAGTCGCAGCTTATATAAGAATGATTCGAGAGAGTCGAGTCGTTTTGCAGTGCATCAATATTGTATTTAGGTAGATTCGATTCCATCGTTTTGATTGAGCTAGTTGGTTGTCATTTTGGTGTAGTAGCCGAGGTCGATACTGTAGGTAACATTTTGATCTTACCATATAGTGGTCAGTTCCGCACTCCGGATTATTTGATCAAAAACTGCATAAAGTAAAGGTTCTTTCGACACAAAGGCATCCTCAATTGAAACGACTTTATCAATTTTTTTTTATTTCTGAATTAGCTTCTTCTGTAGTAAACTTAAACACACTAAAAATAATTTTTGTTGCTTGAGATCCTAAATATTTATTTTTATTGAATCGTTTCAAAGAAATATTTAAATAAATCCGTAAACTGTTTTCGAAACCAATTCAGATTTCTGCTTTAATCTGTGCCTTCTAAAAATTGCAAGGCAAAACAGACGTTGATAAAGATGTTAATAGAGACATGGGGAACCTAAAATTTGTATTCCACGACATATATCAACTAAGCAAAAATCCTTAGCGAATTGGTTTCGTGTACTCATACAGAGTATATCCGAATAAAATGAAAAAGACAGTAGATATTTGATTTCACGTACAATGCGTCTGTGTATCTGCTTATACGCCCTAATAGGGTTCATCAGAACAGCTCTTTAATACACAGACGCATTGTATGTGAAATAAAATATTTACTGTCTTTTTCATTTTATTCGGATATACTCTGTATCAGTACAAGAAACCAATTCGCTAAGGATTTTTGCTTAGTTGATGAGATATGTCGTGGAATGCAAATTTTAGATTCCTCATGTCTCTATTAACATCTTTATCAACGTCTGTTTTGCCTTGCAATTTTTAGAAGGCACAGATTAAAGCCTAAATCTGAATTGGTTTCGAAAACAGTTTACGGATTTATTTTCAGATGTCGCTATTTGCGTCTATACGAAGCCATGTTAGAGTTGCTTCTTAAGACAGAAAAGATTGGTTCTCACGTTCAGAACGCCTGTGAATAGCTGTTCTGATGAGCCCTATTAGGGCGAAATACGTATAAGCAGATACACAGACGCATTGTACGTGAAATCAAATCTTTACTGTCTTTTTCAAAATATTTAAATATTTGACAACACTGCAGTTAATTTAACGTTAGGAGCTCGATCTCCTCCGCTTGACTATCAGAGAAAAAATAAATTATGTCATAATATAAAATTTGGTCAACCCGGAACAAGCCACTTCTCGCTTGTCATACTGTAAACAGATACCTGCAGATTCAAGCGACCGGATCTCGTACTATTAGGTGTGTCATAGTGGACGACTTAACATTGTTTCCTGACTTCTTTCAAAAGAGTCGAATATTAGTACTTTATATTTTAGTATTTCTAAACATTTTATTACTACTCTAGGTTATCAGGCGGAACAACTTCCATGGAACCAGTTGAAGAGGGAACTGATCCTTTGACTCAGGAGCTCACGGCTTTGGGTAAGTTGTAAATGCATTTAATTTGAAAACAGTACAAATATAATTATTTTTCTGTTTCTTTAAAAGCTGATCCTAAGGAAAAAGAAAGTAAGTTTGTGTGTGAAATCGTTTGCCTAATAGTAATACATTGCTTTGAGTTGTTCTATAATTTTTGTCTATAAAAAGGAACAACATTCTAAGCTTATTTAGTGTGTAGTTGAGAACATTTTTGACTAGCAATCTACTTCGCAAGAAGTTTTAAGTACAGTTGTCCCTTGATAATCCGACAGGTATGGAACCAAAGGGGTGCCGGATTACCAAAAGTCTCCATATTACCGTGGTTATGTTTGGCATTGTCTTGTTAGCAGTAGCCTACAATATTCTTAAATGTTATGAGTAAAATGCTACCCAGATTAATATAAAAATGAAATATTCATTTCGGCTAACTAAAACATGTTTATTAAAAGAAATATGGACGCTAATAAATTTAATGTACATACCTACAATGTGAAACTTATAACTTATAAACATACGTACTAATAACTAAATGCCGCAACTAAAGTAGATTAGCTATGGACGTATGTAAATACATATGTACTGTGCTCAAACTTTGAAGAAATATTTGATTGTCTTTTGCTTTTTCTTCTTTAGACAGTCTGTCATTCCTTGTTCTTGTATCTCCTTTAACATAATTTTTTTTTCAAAGTCATACGCTCTCTCCTCACACCAACGCATTAAAGTGTTTACAACCAATATAGCATTATCATAGTTGACGGTGAAATATTTTTCATAATGTGCTTCCTGGGTCACGTGTTCATCAGAGTCTGTCATTTCTTTCATTATTTCTTCATCTGTTAAGTCAGCATTGAGATTGTCATCTAAAATACATCCTTGTAAAGCTTCTCTTGATTCTGATGAATAAGTCATATTGTTGCAAATTTGAGGGGTATCATCTAGTACAACTTGCACAGGTTGGTCATTGGATTCTTTGTTAACTTCTATTGGAAGGAGTAGGTTGTTGGGCCAAATATTCTTCCACGACTTAATCAGTGTCGTAGGTTTACTTGCTGCCAGGCAAACGCAGCATTGATAATGGCATCTTTGATGTTAAAGTTTTTGAAAATTGAAGTGATGTGAGCATTAGACTGACTTACAATATCCACAAGAAGTTGTTTTTTGTAGTGTGCCTTGGCAGTTTTAATAACATTTTGATACATGGGCTGAATCAATGCAGTAGTATTTTTCGGTAAGTACGTTACCCCGATATATCCATCGGCAGTTTCGATTTTTAATTCGTCCTTATCAGGATGTCCTGAAGCATTGTCTAACAAGAGGAGGGCTTTCACTAGTAGTTTATTTTTTCTTAGCTCATCTTTAACTTGTGGGACTGTTCTTGTACCAATCCAGAAAAACTTCTTTTGTCACCCAGACACGGCTTTGCCACATGTACGTAATTAGTAGTTGCTCAATTTTAATATTTTTGAAGGCAGAGGTTTTTTGAACTTACTCACGATTAGCAATTTCAATTTATGGGATCCTGATGCATTCGCGCATATCATGCGTTCTTTTTGAAGTTTTCTACCAAAAAAATTTTTTTTAAGTGACTAATGTCTTTATTGGAACTTTAGACCGATTTCATCAGCGTTATAAAGTTGTTCAGGAATTAGGTCTAATTCGGTGATGTTTTTGCTCAAATTCTGAATAAATTCAAATATCTTAGACTCACCTGCACTCAACTTCTCTTCACTCATCTGCAAAAATCGTTTTTTGAATTTTTCGAGCCAACCTTGACTAGCACGAAAATCAGTTTTCTCTGTTAGTTCCTGATAAAAAAAACTGAGCGTTATTTTTTTTTAATGTCACCTGAAATAGAAGCTTGTCTGCTTCCTTGTCGCTTAAACCAGATGTGCAGAGCTTCTTCAACATTAGGAAATTCACCCATTTTAAGAGTTTTTCTGTCCTTAGATTCTCTATAGATTTCATACATTTTTCCATTTTGTCTTTGTTTTTCATAATGTCATACACAGTAGCTTGTCCAATATATCGCAGTACGAGTTTCCCCACACTCGCATCTCTTAATAATATCTCATTTAGCTTTTAGAGTCAGCGTTTTGTGCTTTCGTTTTGTACTTGTGCTCACCATTGAACGGAACTTCCTAAACGAATTAAATAAAAGTTTGGCATTACGTATTACTGTATATAAAAACCCTATCGAACCGAACTGCTCATGGAAAACACACGAAATGAAGCATCTGGTTTTCGGTAAGGATAAGCGGCGGCGACCTTGACGAGAGGTGCGTCGGACTACCGAGCGTGTCGGGTAGTGATGTAACGAATATTCGCATTCGCATTCGCGAATATTCGCATATTTTTGCATATTCGCATTTGCATTCGCATTCGCAAAATTTGTGCGAATGTTTTGCGAATATTACACAGCTTGCATTTAGCTCGTTCAGTATCGAAAAGTGGTGAAAAATAAGTCCATATTTCACTATAATTTGATTTACTCATAGTAATAAATCGCTAATCACACTTTAACTAAAAATTCACTTGTATTTGTGCACGAGCAGAGCAGGGCAAGTGGAGTGACTTGTGTACCGTGAAATTTTTATTGGAACTATAACCAGAGAACTTAGTTCTCCGCTATAACTTTCTCTCTATAACAAGTCAAATTTGATTATAACAAGAGAAAATAAGATCGAAAAACGTGCTTTCTACGTTTTTGGCCCGGACGTGACTATAAATAAATACCTTTTTAAACGACCCCTCAATAAACTTAACCGCCTACAATAAACTTCTTTACAATAAATACAACTGTTTCACATCTTTACTTTAGCAAATATGATAGAATGATACTGGACAATTTAAAGCAGTTAAAAATGACAGACTTTTTCCAATTGCCTACACACCTCGCGCAAATGAAACTGCCGGCAGTGCCGAAGACAATTAAAATTGCCAAATTAAAAAAAAAACTGATTATTCGCATTCGCATTCGCGAATGTCGGTGGCATATATTCGCATTCGCATTCGCGAATGTTTAAAAAATGACATTTGTTACATCACTAGTGTCGGGTTGCAAAACGTCGGAGTATCAAGGGTGTACGTGATGTATTTAAAATTTCTATATTTGAACGTTGAAATATCAATCAAGTTCATCGTTTCCTTATGTATATAGTATATTATTTCCGTAAAGGTTATTTACAGTGTTGCCAATCGGCGTATAATTATCCGATTTGCGGATCTTTTTGAGAGTTGTCGTATCTTCTTCGTATCTCTTCGTAAATCGAATATTTGCGTATATTTTTCAGTACATCTATCAATCTACTACAACAGACTAATAACAAAAAAAAAACTTTATGGTTTGTAGTTATTTCCTTTCTTTCTTGTAAATATGTTATGATTAGACGTTACCAATTATTTGGGTTGGGGAATGAATCTGATTACGAAACTCATGATCGAGAAAAAATAATCAACCGTTGCGATTTTAGAACAGTCTTTCTATCTTTTGTTATGTTAGGTAGAGGACACTAAAGATGTAACATCTAAGAATTCTTATGCGTATATTTATACTTAAAGATAAGTTGCAGAGAATCTTCCTAAGACTGTTAAAAGAGCTTCTGGCTTTTTCAATTCGAGTTTTTATTTCGTAGCTATGATCCCAAGTATCCTTAAATTTGCAGCCCAAATATCATATTTTCTCCACTTTTTCTAACAGTGTATCGTTAATTGTAATTTGGGCGTTTATGTTGGTGTTCTTACTAATGATCAATATTTTTGTCTTCTTACAATTTAGTTTTAGGCCGTATTTGTTACATGTTTCTATAACATTATCCATCATCCTTTGAAGCCCCTGCGCACTATCTGCCAGCAATACAGTATCATCTGCCTAGCTAATGGTTTATAAGTTGGCCATTTACTGCAATACCATCTTCTGATTCGTCCAAGGCTAAAGATATTTTCAGAGTATTATTAAATAATGCTGGTGACAGTAAGCAACCCTGTGTAACTCCTTTTGCGACTGTGAAGATCTCGGACAGTTCATTTTCGAATCATACTGTTACTTTTTGTTGGAGATATAAGTTCGAGATCAGACTTTTACCATCGAGTCCTGATGTCTTTAGGATATCAATTACCATATCAATATAATTATATCATATCAATATAATTCAACACTTAAAATAATACAAAATATACGAATTAATCAGCCAGGATACGATTGAGTCAGGTGTTCAATAAAAATTTACTTTTCGTTAATTTTTGGATGATTTCAATTTATAAACTGAAATTTTTAAAATAAACGTTAAAACAGAAAATCATAGATTAAAAATTATTCTGTAGTCAGATAAAAGAATATCATCGGCAACATTGATTTTAATTACGGAAGAATTTCTGACATATCGTATTTTTTCGTGACAAATCGGATCTTTTTCGAGGGATCATCGGATAATCTAGAGAAATGCGGTTGGCAACACTGGTTGTTTATCTCAATTAATAAATGGGTCACCAATCTCCTTCATGTAGGTTTTCACCGAGAACCGATTACTTTTCTTATTATAAAAACGTTTAATATTTGTAAAATATACGAATAAAATATTTTTAACTCATTTGTATATGTATCCAATTAGGATTGGGGATGAACGCACTGGCATGTCACTGGCTCCTGGTTCTGCTATTTTATTTGTTCACCTATACCTTATGACGGGCTGGTGCGTTCTGAATTTTAACTAACATTAGTTTTATAGAGTACAATAAAAAAAAAGATGTTGAAATGAAAAACGAACAATCATTTTTTTTTTAAACTAATTAAAAACAAAATGAAAAGTACATAGTAACAGAAACTTCATCCAAGGCAAAATGTGAAATATTTGACAGCAATCCAGCAAAATCCAGTGATTTCAAGACAGGTTTTGCATTCCTATATTGTGTATTTTAAGGTTCGCTTTCGTTTGCTACATCGTTTCCTTACAACTTTTCCCTCTCGTTTAGTTACAAGGTGAACTTTTTCAGGATATGCGACTTCT